CTTCTCCCCCATCACCTCATCCAGAAGGCTTATATCTGAACTATCACCCTCCCTCCGCAAATTGCACACGTATTTTTTCGATCGAGCCCATTTGCCAATCTTCCTTCGCCCTATATACAGGGTCAGGAAGTTAGGACAAATTCTTTCTCTGTCCCATGGTGCACCACCCTCCACCCCAAAGTTTCTCTGGAAACTCTGAGGCAAGTCAGGTGACAAGTGACATTGGCACTCCCTGTGTACTGACAGGGCCCTCAGCACTCTGAAGAGCCCTGAGGAAGGGGAAGACCTGAGAAAGCAGAGCCACTGAGATCCCTGTAAGGAAAGCTGACATTCAGAAACAGGGAGAAACAAGCCATGTGGCCTTGGAGGCCAGCGACTGGGCACCTGAGTCTCATGAAGGTGACTGTACATGTGCGGGAGGGAGAAGATTAGAGGGCACCCTGTACCCTCGAGGAAAACTAGCTTAGCCAGCTGCCTTGGCCTGCAGCCTCCCTCCCCCCAAACCAAGCTGGGAATAAATGGCTGGATCAGGTGACCTAGGAAATTCTTTTCTGCTTTAACTTTCCAAGTTTAAAAGGTATAGTCGTCTGAGACTCAGAAGCCCTTCACCCAATCTTACCTACTCATGACCACCTCAGGAAACAGGGTTTCTCTCTCTAGGAGGCCAGAACTCAAGCTCTGTTTCACTATTAATCAACCCATCAATAAAAGCAGATTGTGGGCAAGGTAACCTAGAATTCTCCCCACCTGGCAGGCAACTTGTCCCTTCCTCCTCCAGACTCAAAGCCCCCATAGGAAAGCCAGAATAGAGGGACTGGAAATATATTTCTCCCTGTCCCTGTCCTTTCATGGCCCCACCGGTCCTCCTGGGGCTAAGTGATCTGCTTGGAGATTCCCTTGGGGCTCAGGGACTCCCTTTCCTGGCTAGTTTAGGGCAGGGCAGTAGGAAGAGAAGACAAGGGTGGCTTTAGACTTAGGGAATCCACTGGTCTTATCCCTGGCCTAACCCTCTAGGTTCCAAGGCTCCTGAGCTCCAGGAGAAAGGGAGGGGCAGAGTCGGGCAATGGTGTAACCAGGTGACCTTGGGACTATCTAAGAGGCTATAAAATATACCTTAGGGCAGCAGCAGGGGAGGGGACAGCCCTCCTTCCTGTATACCCTCTCCCTCTGCCCCCACCCAAGGCTTCCTTACCCTTGCCCTGCACAGGGACGCTGAGCAATGGAGGAGATAATGCCCTGCAGCTAAGCACTAGCGTGACCCCTGAGAGTGATCTTGCTGGGCAAATCCAGGCAACATGATGGAAATTTCTCCTCTTCTTCCCCCATGCTCCAACATGGCCAACTTCGTTTCATTGGTCTCTGAGCTCCTGCTGCTCACAACTCTGCTCCCAACCCCACTTTAAGAGGAAGACCGAGTTCCATTTCTAGTGCTTTGTCCCCCTCAGGGCTCGCATGTTCAATGCCTATTTCACCTCCTCAGTCGCACCTAGGACAGTCAAATTGGAGAAGGGTCTATCTATGAACACCCCACTGTCATTCCTTTATGCCCCCTGGGTAGGGGGTTAACCCTCAGATTTGGGGGTGGAGGGGGGACTAGCCCGTTTGTTTTTGTTTGTTTTCAGAAAAACCACTCCGACCTCAACCCCAACCTCAGACTCGGGTTAAAAAAAAAAAAATGCTCACCAACATAACCTCTAGCTTCTGCTCATCTGGCTGACCAGCCACTTTCCTTGGCTTTGCGGGCTAAGTCTTGGGACCAGAGAAAGCAATCCAGTAGCCAACGTAGCCACTGAGTCCAGAAAGCTTTCTTTCCTTCTCCCTGGCAGCCTCGCCAGCCGGATCTCTGGTTCCCCTTTCCCGAGCCTACCCGAGCAGGCAGGTAGGAGGGAGAAAGATGCCAGAGGTTTGGTACAGTGGGGTAGGGACTGTTCCTTAAACGGCTCTTTAAAAGAGGGCATATCAGAGGCCTGCCCTACTAGGCATCACCTTGTCCCTAAACCCGTGACAAATGGCCCGGGGGTGGCAGGCAAGTGAGGGTAGCGTCCCAGCCCAACTCCGGCCACTCCCCCTCCCCCACCGGGGCCGGACCCCGGCGAAAACGACGCCTCCCAGGGCACCCCGCTCCCCAGCCAGGCCTTACCTCTATGTTGCCTACGGTGCGGGCACAACCCACCACCTTCAGTCCCTGCTGGACCAGGGCCCGGGCCACGGCCGCGCCGATGCCCCCCGAGGCGCCCGTCACGAGTGCGAGCCGGTCGCGCCACCGCTCCATGCCGCCCCGGGCCATCTCACTGCGCGAGCTGGGCACCTGGACGGCGGAGCTCGGCCCCAGGTCGCAGGGGCTCGGCCGTTCCCCTACCGACACGGCAGCCGCCGCCGCCCGGCCCGCCTCGAGTCCGCGCCTGGAACTGCCTCCAACCTGGCCGGCCTGCGGCCGGGACTCCACCCTCCTTTCCTCGACTATCGGCCACATCTCGCCGGAGGGCGTAGCAACCCGGCCGTCCCGCCCCCCGCGACGCCGCGCGGACATGGCCCCGCCCCTTCCGGTCCCGCCTCGCCCCCGGCGCAGGGAACTGTTCTATAGGTGAGGGCCTGCGCTGGAGGGTCCCGGGGTTATGTGGTCCGGCTTCCCAGGTGAGCTCTACCCTTGGGGCAGGGAAGCCGACGTGTAGCAGGAGTTTGCTCCACGCCCGAGGATGCACGTACGTACCCTCGCCGCATGCTCAGTAGCCCTTCCTGTTCCTGGGCCAAGGCCAGGAAGAGAAATTAAGGGCACTTAAGGTGACTCCAACGCCCTTCTAAACCAGCCAGTGGCTGATGGGTGACCTTGGGAGGGACTCTCAATCCTACTAACCAAGAAGTGATGGTTAAAAATGGAAACACCTCCAAGTACATGTGCACTGGGGGATTCTATCCCAATGGACTACTTCCAACTGCCCTAGACCTTCTCACTCTCATTGCAGCAAATACATAGATGAAACCAATAGCTTTTATTGGGCATTTACGGTGTGACATGCACTTTTAAGCATTTTAAATATATTAATATGCAGAACAGCCCTATGAGATAGTACTTACTAATACTTTCATTTTTGAGATAACTAAACTTAGTTAAGACAGAAAGGGGTAAAGCATGGTTTGGACCACAGAGGATGTGCTCCTAAAGTGCCTTCACTCCATTCTCCCTTTTGTCTCTTCCTGGGTTGTTGGTTTTGCTCTTAGGATATATTTCATCAAAGCACTGAAAGCTGCCTCACTTATGCATTCTTTAAATATATATATATTTGATTTCAGAGAGGGAGAGAAACATCAATGCTGAGAGAGAACCATTGACTGGCTGCCTCCTGCACGCCCCCCACTGGGGATCAAGCCCACAACCCAGGCATGTACCCTTAACCGGAATCGAACCTGGGACCCTTCACTCCGAAGGCTGACGCCCAAACCAGCTAGGGCCATTTCTGCATCCTTAATATAGCCATCCTTCCAAAGAAAAGATGTATCCAACTACTGGAATCCCTCTAATGCAAGCAATGGAATAAGCATGTGGCTAGCTTATTCATTCAATAAGCACTCATGTATTTGGCCAGCAGGGCAAAAATTAACACAAAACCAGCTCTTGCTTTTAGGGATCTCAAGAGGAAACTTGACTGCAACAGGTGGTGGAGGGGGGATTGGGACCAAAGCCAAGGGCTGTGGGAGGCCGTTGGTCAATCTTTATGGATTCCAGGATGAAAGCAACAGGATCAGAGAGGAATCATGACTCATTTTACCTCTGCCCCAATCCCTATACAACACTAAGATTTGAAAAGACAGCTCAAGAGGTGGATCAAAGAAATGCCACCAACTAAAAAATTAAATCTCATTAGGCTTCTGATGTTGCCCACTGAAATTTGATTAGAAATCTGATTACGCAGTAGAAAGCCCATAAAATTCACTCCATCCCCATTGCACAGAGGTACTGGCAGTCCCACCACCTGTATACTGCCCACCAAGTATTAACATGCAGACAACAAAGCTCTAAGCATATGTGTTTATTGAACTACTGACTCAACTTTTTAAATAGCAGCCAAATGCTAATCCTAGGGGAATCTCTCCTTCAGCATTCAGACAGCTTGTGAAAGCAGTGAACTGTAATGCCATAGTAACTTTATTGTTGAAAACCACGTAAGAACATGCACTTACGAAGACCGCAATGTGGTTAGCTCTCAGTGCAGCCTTCTGATCCCAATTCTACCCACTGAATAATTACTTAATCAGGCAATCCTTGCTTGAAATTCTGCCAAATTTTGTTTTCATTCTTCTAGTTCAATATGAACCTCTGAAGTTAAGGTGCTTTGTGTTATGTATAAGGGAACTTTAAATAATGGCAATTAAGTCTTATGAAAAAGTTAGATGCTGGCCAGTGTCAAAAGATAAATATATAAAAACAAAAGATTGGAAACTGCTTTTCTCGGCTGTCAATTCTAAAGTAAGAATTTTGTCAACAATCTGTCTCTATCCTCATTTGCTCTTATCCTCTCTAACATCAACACTGGCCAAGTACCAAGTCCACAAGTGGCAAATATTAAAATAGTGCCACACATTAAGCAGAAACATGTACACCAAATTTTACTGTGCATATTAATAAATATTCTTTATTTAAATTTTGCACATTGCGCTTTAACAGTACATCCAAACATTTCGCAAGTGGATGTCTACTTTGTAAAACCATATATTCAGCTCATTGTCATTTCTGTACAGAAGTATAAGTACAACATTACTTTTTGCCACTAAGTTGCTTTAGTAAGTCTCACAGGAAGAGAAACATTTAATGAAAGAGATGGCTTAAATCATATGGCAGGCCTGTGCAGCCACTACAGACACAAGCCTAAAGAAAGAACAAACTAATGAGGTTACCTCCACCATCTCCCAAAACAAGAAAGAATCACATTGATTTAAGATAAAATTTTGCTGTAAGTCACTAAATTAAGAGGTTTTTTGAAAGAGAAGGCGCAGTAGTCATCTTGAGTGTTTCATTGAAAGACAGAGCTATTTTATTTATTTAATTTGCTCCAGCCGTTGTCAACCAGCCACTACAAATGGGCCTCTTGTGATCATTTAAGCGGCAGTATTTATTAAATTTCTCCTTCAGATGCTGTCGGTATTGTTCTCTATTGCTGTAGAAAGACTGGTTATTGGCCATAAATGACTGTATTTCATCTTGTGAGATAAAGATTTCCTCATCTGAAGTACATTCAGACTCATCCTGCAAATTAAAGGAATAATTAAGACTTTGATTTAAAGAATGCAAAATGTTATGCTGATGGAGAACAGCTAAATATTAAAAAGCAGTCTAGCGTTTTAGTTTCAATTCAGTAAAATAAAACCTTTAATTGGAATGTTTACAGAATAAGCATAATGTTATTCTGTCTTAGAAAGTACTAAATGAGAATAAAATTCAACTCAGTTTGATTTGGTTTGAAACTCTGGATCTAACATTTTTCCTAGAAGCCTATAATGAGCCTAGCTGATACCAACATATCTTCTTTCTGCCTTAAAAAAAATGACTAATTAGAGATGGTTACAGCTAGGTTACCAAATTTTAAATAACCAGACGTATCTCTAGTTGATTCTAAGCTGAAACTTTTATCTCTACAAATTAAGTAAAATATAACCTTTATTAACTTTAAGTTACACAGCAACAGCATCTAACTTTATAACCTTATGAAAAAGAAAAAAGTAGTATTCTATAGAGCATTTGGTTCCATTAAGATCCTATAGAAAAGACACCACCCTTCTCCTTCCTTCCCCCTCCTCTAAGCCCCACACAAGCTATGCACTAGATCACTTGGAATCAGGTATATATACCTCATTTCAAGTATCAAGAACTAGAATCAATTATAAAAGGTTTTCCATGTTCAGTTATGCTTTTATCATACATGACCTAAAGGGAGTAACCTAAAAATATGGGCTTTTGTTCAGATTCTGGTCTGGAAGGGTGGCTACTATATAAATTGCCACTCAGAAAGGCAATTTCCTTACAATAACCCTCCTCTTGAAGGAGGCAGATTCCTAGACATGATGCTAACTCTACCCTCATCTCCCAACTAGTTTCTTCTACCTTTGAGAGAAAGGAGAACAGGGAAATGTACTTCTGAGTAGCTGCATAAACCATGAGTGGAAGAACAAAAATGAAGTCACCAAAACAATAATGAAATAATGCTCTTAATTTTCCCCACTTCCAACTTTAACCCTTTGCGGTCGTTTGTCTACTCTCAGCCACCAAAGCTTTTTTACCGTTCCGGTCGTATGTCTGCTCTCAGCCACCACAGCAAGGAACCGTACGAATCTTAACTCTATTCATTCATGTATCAGTTCATAATTTCTCTGAAAGCTCTTAAGTGTCTAAGCGACCTTGTCACGAACCAAAACATTGCCCCGACAAATCGGAGATATCGAAACTCAATATAAACAAACGCGGTCGTTCCACACTCGCCATGCAAAACACCGTGGAGAGTCAGTCGCTTTTTGAGAGTGAAGAAATCGACAAGCTTCAGAGATACTTCGCAGAATTTCAAATAAAGCTTTACAAATTACGTTTAACTGTAATTAGGCATTCTTGCTTGTTAAGATATTTCAAAATAATACTCCAAAATGGCAAAAAGAAAGTTACCGAAAGTGTACTGCGAATATGAAAGTAACGATGAAGAGTTTTATTTTGGCACCTTGAATACTGACTCTGACGTAGAAAGTGATAACGTTTGTAGTGATTCTACTAGTAGTGACGTAGTTCCAAAAAAGAATTAATAAATCTTGTTTATCCTTCATAATCTTGCATGTTATGTATCACTGCTCTTTCAATGGAAATTAATTCCGACCAGTACGGCATGTCCAAATTTAATACAACCGCAAAGGATTAAACCCTCAAAAATTCTGTCCACTCCCACATCTAGCCATGGGCAATCAGTTATCCACAATAAGACATCATGGTTTACTTACAAGGAGTTCAACTAAGCTCTTGGCACCTTTTCCGGAATCAGGACCAAGTGACATTTCTGTAGGTTCTGCAAACTGTGGTACATTTTTTCTATGCTCAAACCAAGGCAGTGGCTGCCCACCCTTTTCAGAGCTACAACAGCTTTCAGGATGTGCATCTTTGGTCTTGTCACGGTGGAACACTGTGTGCACGGTATTTCCTGAGGTCTCTCGATTTCCTGGATCTGTAATACAGCTTCCAAGCTTTTGGATCTAAAACCATAGCAAAAAGATTTCCCAGGTAAGAAGGCAGTGATTAATAGCAAAAAGCCCCAATAGTGCATTAAATTTCTAAAAAGAATAATGAATAAAAGCAGCAGCTGAAATTTATTAAACACTGCATACTGGGCACTATTCTAACCCAGCAATATAATCTCATTTTATCTTCACACTAGAGGCCCAATGCACGAAATTCATGCAAGGGGCTCAGCCATCGCAGCCCTGGCTTCGTCCGGAAGGTGTCGGCTATCCAGTCTAATTAGCATATTACGATTTTATTATTACAGAAGATAACTTAATCTGAGAGGGACCTTTTTCTCCATTTTACAGATGGAAAAGTATGATCAAGCAAGCTTTCAAAGTATTATGAAAAGAATGAACTGGATTTATGACAATCATGGATTGTTGGACAAATGACCACATCAGACACACACCCAAATCACAAGATAAGCAACCAATGGAACTGCGTAAGATACTCATTCTTAAAAAAACAATAATAGTAAATCCTAGCAGCTAAGCTGCACACTTGCCACACCAAGGAAAAGAGGCTATTCCCCCCTCAACCGCAAAGGCTTCAGAATTACAAGTTATGACACTAACATGTTCATCACATTTCAACATCTTGCTTTTCTTTTTCTTCTTTTTATTTTTTCCTTTGGTGTTGTTCTCTTCGGAATTTGCCCAACATTCAACACAACTATCACCATCATCCTCTTTGTCTTCACAGTGATGAACACAGGAGTCATCACCTGCAGAAATCAGTAATCTCTTATTTAAGTGCTTAAATCAGCCATGTAGCAGAAATAATTGGGAAGCTTAATCTGAACCTACCGTGTTCGTCATGATTACAAATGCCTTCAGTGCAGGCAACATCTGAACCCTCCCGGGAACCTGTTTCACTCCCTTCCATGCTAGATGAATATCCACAATCACTACCATTACAGTGTGGAGATAAGCCTGAGAATTAATTAGGTGACAGTTACAATTAACATACCAATAAATATGTTAAGACAAAATGTGAACTATTTAAGACCATAGAAAATTTTCAAAATTAATGGTTTATTAAAAGTAGAAAGTAAATTAATAAAAACACAATTAGGGATTTACAATTTCTTGTTTTTATCAAATACTAACAAATCAAACACCATAAAGAAAAAGGAAATATTAAGTGTCTGACCAAAGGATACTCTTGGTACTATAAAGCAATTCTTGAATTCTAGGTTACAGCATTTCTAAAAGCTTACATTTAAAAGGAAAAAATAAACTTAGGAGTTAATTTTAAAAAGAAACTGTATTTACTTACCTTTCTTTATTTTAGGGGACCCCAAAAGATTGCCACTGCTAGGACAGGTACATGATGTATTTTCATTGGTAACAATTACTTCTACACAACTATTACCATCTTCAGTGCTGCCACAGGCTTTACAGCTGTTTTCTATGAAGTCTGTTTCCTTTAAGGATCAGCATTAAGAAACAGTTTTAAAAAGGTTTACCCAATAATGGCTACACTTACATTAACTAATTAGACAAGTTATGAGGCTAACAATAAAAAAAACTACTCTCACAAAAAAATATTAATTCACTTCAAGACTTTGAACCAACTAAAAGCAAGTCGAATTAATGGTTCCTTAGGTCAAAACTATTTTCATCGTAATACCAAGATGTAATCTGCTCTTTCACTGTATTGACACACTGATGATACAAAAGCAACAGTGGAAAAAGTTCCTGGGGCTTTAGCAACACAAATCAAGGCAGTGGCAACCAAAGTGTACTAATAGTCACTGTATTCTTCACTTGTCAAGCACTCTCAGGAGACAGATATTTCACTTCTAAATGTCTTTGAAGCAATAAAAATATTAATTTTATTAAATATAAACCCATCAGTAAATGTCTTTTTAAGAGCCTGTGTGACAAATGGGAAGTAACTTGAAGCACTTTTGCTGTACGCCAAAATACAATCACTATCTCAAGGAGAAGGTACTTGTGCCAGTTTCAATTGAAAGCTAAATTAGTTGCTATTTTTCCTGGATCATCAATTTACTTGAAAGAAAGAATGAAGACAAACTATGGTTACTCAAACCTTGGATATTAAAAGACATTTTCTCAAAAATGAATGAAGTTAAAAAACAAAAATGAAGTCAGCCCATCACTTCAAGGAAAACAATGAACAGTATTTGTTGTCAATGATAAAATTCACCAAACTTTCAAACTCAACCAGAATTCTGAAACTTGCATATGCAAGCACAATGAGCTTGAAGCTTCCCAATACTTAAAAATCTTTCTGATGAGATCAGCAGTGGTTTTAACGTGATTGATTATCTGGTATTATATAATGAAATATCAATAACTGGGGAGATACTCAGTGAACCAGTATCTTTCTTTAAAAAAATAAAATAAAATAAATTTATTGATTTGAGAGAGAGAGAGGGAAAGAGAGAAAAACATCAATGATGAGAATCATTGATCAGCTGCTTCCTGAATGCCCCCTATTGGGAATGAAGCCCAAAATCCAGGCATGTGCAGATTGGGAATGGAACCATTACCTCCTGATGTGTAAGTTGAAGCTTAACCACTAAGTCACACCGGCTGGGCTGAACCGGTATCTTTCAAATAACCTTGCATTCTGTTGCAAAATCATGCATGAGTAAAAGATCTATTCAAAGTGCAAGACTTTCTTCATATGCTTCAACCAGCAAGAGAAAAACAGAATGAATGCAGAAGCAGATATGAGAATCCACCTGATTGATTCCTTTAAGCCAAATATTAGAGATTTGCAAAAATATAAAATAATGCCACCCATCTCACCTTTTCTTTTGAAAATAGTTAATTTTCAAAAAATGTTATTCAGCCCTGGCCAAGGGGCTCAGCTGATTGAAGCATCGACCTATACACCAAAGGGTATAACAGGTTCAATTCCCAGTCAGGGCACACACCCAGGTTGTGGGTTTGATCCCAACAAATCAGGGAGCATATGGGAGGCAACCAATAGATGTTTCTCTCTCCCCCATCCCTTCCTCTCCTTCTAAAATCAATAAATACATCCTCGGGTGAGGATAAAAAGAAAAAAAGATGTTATTTATGTTAACACATAATGAAATTATTTTTAAAAGAACCAATAATTTAAAATTTTTCCATTTCAATTTCTAATACTGTAATATTGACAGATACAATCTACATAAACAAAAGATTATGGGCACCTTAATTTTTAAGAATGCAAACAGGTCCTAAGACCAAAAAGTTGAGAACTGCTCTAGGTCATGTTCAGAGTTAACTTTTTTAAAAAATATATTTTTACTGATTTCAGAGAGGAAAAAAAAAGGGATAGAAAATGATGAGAGAATCATTGATCAGCTGCCTCCCACACCCCCCCCAAACTGGGGATCAAGCCTGCAATCCAGGCATATGCCCTGACTGGGAATCAAACCATGACCTCCTGGAGGTAACTTTGATCTAACAGTATACCAAGGTCAGGGAAAAGATAGCCAGTTTGACTCAGTTGATAGAGCCTCAGCCTGTGGACCAAAGGGTCCCAGGTTCAATTCCAGTCAAGGGCATGTACCGCGATTGCAGGCTCCTCCCAGCTTGGGTCCTGGTCAGGGCTCATGCAGGAGGCAACCAACTGATGTGTTTCTCTCACATCGATATCTCTGTCCTTCCCTCTCCCACTCTCTCTAAAAATAAATGGAAAAATATTCTTGGATGAGGATTAAAAAAAAAGAAAACCATCTTTATAAAACAAACACATGACTAAAAAATTTGGCTTATACAGATTATAACAGGAAAAAAGGCAGGAGTTCACATTCTGGAAAAAGGATAGTGAAAATGCCGAAATCTAGCAAAAAGCAATACAATGTATTCATGAGTCAATATTAAGGAATACTACCTTCTCTTGGCTTACTTCCTTTTCCTCTGCTGTTTGGAGGGGAGTAGGAATGTCACATACACATTTATTTTTTCGTCTATTTTTCCGTTTTTGGCGTTTCTTTTCTTGCTTGAGTTCTCTTACTCGTTCCTCCTCTGAAAATTCTTCACAAAGTTGTTCCAATCGGCTAATCCCTTGTACTTTTTCCACGGTCATCTATTACAAAAACAAAAGTTGAAAGTGAATAACTGTGCTCAAAACTTCCTTTATTTTCCATGAACATTCTCATTTGTTAATTTTAAATGATACCACAAACACAGAAACTGATTATTTCATGCTGCAATTCTGTCAGTAATCCCCACAAAGAATTTCAAATATTAATACCTTAAGTGATGACAGTCTTAAAATCTACACAGGAAGTGAATATATAACTAATCCCTATGGGAAAGGCAGACTTACACAGACTTACAGCATATTCTAATTTCAGAATTTTTTTTCCCTATTTCAGAATTTTAACACAGCAAATTAAGCATTCATTTGGTCACATAATAAGACTATTTAATATTTAACCCCATTAGATGATCTAGTTATTGAAGACACAAACATACAAGGAGAAAAGGAGTAAGAAATCTGTTCAGCAAGAACTAGTACAAATCTCCTCAGACTGCCTAGAACAGTGCTTTAAGGTCATGATGGGCTTCTGAAAAAAGCGTTTGTAGCTTTCATACCATTTTCAGAAGGGACTGGTGAACCAAAGAAAGGATAATAATCATGTCCTACACCAATGATGGCGAACCTATGACACACATGTCAGAGGTGACAGGCGAACTCATTTTTTTGGTTGATTTTTCTTTGTTAAATGGCATTTAAATATATAAAATAAATATCAAAAATATAAGTCTTTGTTTTACTATGGTTGCAAATATCAAAAAATTTCTATATGTGACACGGCACCAGAGTTATGTTAGAGTTTTTCAAAATGCTGACACGCCGAGCTCAAAAGTTTAGCCATCACTGTCCTACACTATAACAAAATATTCACTAGCCAAAAATGTATGTTCTATAGTGTTTAACTGAAAAAAAGGTTACCAAATCACATGCACTGAACCCAGTACCAACATTATAAAGAGCCTTGTGTACTTCTAGGACGTAGTTCTTATATCATGGCATTTTGACAGCATTTACTTCATATTATTGGACATCAGCAAGCATACTGGGTCTCATTAAAGGCTTCTAATTTTGTTTCTTATTTTTGAGCTGCTTTTAACTTTTCATTAGTTATGCTTCATGGCAGCATCTTGTTAAATAATAACCAACTTCAGTTTTCTACTCTGAGAAAATCTACAAAGCCAAGGCAGGCAAAACAAAGAAAAACCCACAAACTTCTTTTAAATTCCAGTTCCCCAGGAAACTTCTTCCCTAACCCCCCAAAAGACAGGACATTGTATCAATGGATTATAGCCCTCTGAGGCAAGGTGAGCCTGATGGCTTACAATAAGAGTCAGTCCAATAACTTAAGCAACCTTGGACACTGAAGCAGCCCATTGTTCTTACCTCAAAACTCTTACGTAAAGCATCAACACCAAGATAAAAAAGCATCTGCCACGTCTGCTCTTCTGCTCGTAGTTTTTGCCAGATCCGATGCAGTCTTTCATAAAGATGAATTCCCAAGCAGGTCAGAACTTCTTCTTGAGCTATATCTATTGTCTTAGCATGCCTTTCTCTTCGCCTATAAAGGAGAATAAATTATACATAACTCCTTTCATTGGAACAGTAAAAGCTGAATAACACATCTGCAAGTTCAGATTTTAAACACAATCTTCCTACCTATTAACCTAATAACAAGACAGTTATACATTCAAATTCAATTAATGCATAAACACACAAGCACACATGTATATAAAAAATGAGAAATATACATGCAGGTAGAGCTCAGTCCTAATATTGCTAAAAATAAGGTAATTCAGGAACTGGCCCTAAATAGATGGTTTGGGGGCACAGAGAAGTCACACATACAAGTGTCCAGCTCATGGTAGGCATGACAGTTAATCTAACCTTCCAATTACAGCCAATGTCTATTTGGGCTTTGTTTCTTTTTTGAGGGTGAATGGAGAAAGGCAATGCCAAAGTGACTCAATCATGGGCAAAAGCCCTCTAAGCCAGTCTTCTGAAGTGTTCACAGAACTTCAGAGATAAAAGAGTATTTGTATTCTAAATGCCTAACAGAACGTAGGCACTCAAATGAAAGTTGCTACACAAAACACAAACAAATGGGTTCCATTTATTCTATAAACAACTTTTCCTGATATTTCACAACAAAGCTACAGATAAAATTTTAGGTTCCTATATAACTTAATAGTAATATACACAGTTCATGAATTACATTAATAAAGTGCTTCATAACCCCCTGCTGCAAAGACCTGACTTCCTATGCAAAAACCATCATTATAAACAACATTTAAATATGAAAATGCATGGATGAAGGAGGAAAACTATCCCTTCTAATCATTTTCAAATGAAAATGATCATCTATAATAATGAAAGCCAAAAAAAAAGTCTGCCTACTTCAAGCAACAAGGAGCAAAGGACTGAACCAAACACCACAGAACACATTCTCCCTATTTTTACTTAGTAAATTAAGAAATGCATATTTTAAAGAAAGCAAATTTTTACAGGCACACTTTAATTTATACATATGTACTGATGCAGAAGGTGATGAAAATAAACTTTCAGTAATAAAATGAAGCAAAGCGCTAGATAGCCCATTCTAGCAAATTACATACTCATACCCTCCTGCGAACTCTGGCTCAGCACGACCCAAAAGATGTGCAATGAAGTCCGTTTCACAGCAAACATGTATGTGTCGTTCATGTGGACAGCACCGCAAACCTTCATAAAGTGCAGCACAATAGCCCTTCTCTTTGCTGCAATCAAGTTCACCAATAAGGATATTGTATGCTCGGAGGACTTTATTTTTGCAATCAGTGCAAAACCTGTTGAAAAGAAAAACCTCAAAATTAAGAACTGGCTGTGTAATTATTTCATGAGGGATATAACAGTGTACTAGACAATGACAGAGACCTAACAGTATTTTTAAAAAATTAATCCTCACCTGAGAATTTTTCCCCCATTGAATTTTAGAGTGGAAGGGAGGGGGAGAGACAGAGAGAAACATCGATGTGAAAGATACTCATCGATTGGTTGGTGCCTCAACCAGGGCTGGAGATCGAGCCTGCAACCAGGGTACATGCCCTTGACTGGAATCAAACCTGTGACCCTTCAGTCCTCAGGCTAATGCTCTAACCACTGAGCAAAACAGGCAAGGGCTGCACAGCATGTTTTTAAAAAGCCTCCTTACACAATGGACAACACATACATGTAAGGTAAATACAAATTTAGATATTACATGAGTATAGCTAGAGCTCCATTTGCCTAAATCAAGTTCATTCTTAAAGAACCCTTTAGTGCCCTGGTCAGTGTGGCTCACAGTTGGTTGAGAGTCATCCCATGCACCAAAAGGTTGCTAGTTTGATTACGGGTCAGGGCATATGCCTAAGTTACGGGCTTGATCCCGGTGGGGAACGAGCAACATTCCGCTATCAATGTTTCTCTCTCTCGCTCTCCCTTCCTCTTTAAAAATCATCAAATATTATGTGTGTGTGTGTGTGTGTGTGTGTGTGTGTGTAAAAAGAAGCCTTCTGCAATTCCCATAACTAGAATTCAAACTTCCTCTGTGTTCCTCTGATTTGATTTACTCTTCTTACTATAGTATTTACCCTTACGCCGCCATGCATTAGTTTGATACACACATCTTTCTGGCCCAATAGTAAATAACTGTGTTTCCTGAAATGAGTACATGTTAAACTAGAAGCTCTAAGCCCACTTGATAAACAGAGGCAATAACGTTGACAAGTAAAACTAAAAAATTAACTCAAAATGGGTTAAAAACCTAAACATTAAGACCTGAAACTATAAAACTCCTAGAAGAAAACAAAGGGGAGAAAAATTTCATTGACACTGGAAGAGGCATAATTTATTAGATACTAGAGGCCCAGTGCATGAATTTGTGCACCGGTGAGGCCTGGCCAGCCCTGCCCCAATCGTCAGATCGGGCCGGGCCTGTCAGGAGGAGATGGCAGGATGTTGGCCAGCCACCCCACCCCGATTGGGCCCGATCAGGGCCTGGCCAGCTGTGGGGAGGGGCCACAGGCCACCTATCAGGGTGGTGGGGGCTGATAGGGGATGGGGCTGGCCGTGGAGAAGGGCTATGGGGTGGGGGGAGCCGAGAGGGGGCCAGCGGCCTGGGGGAGGGGCCGTGGGTGGTTGGCCAGCTGGCCCCACCCCTGATTGGGGGGGAGGGGGGCGATCCGGGCGGAGGTGGCTGGGGGAGGGGCCGCAGGCCGATCAGAATGGTGGGGGCCCATCAGGGGCGGGGCCAGCCAAGGTGAAGGGCTACAGGAGGTTGGCCAGCTGCCCCACCCTCGATCTAGGTGGGAGAGGCCAATCAGGGGCCGCGGGAGATTGGCTGCCGGCCCCGGCCCCACCCCCCCCCAATCAGCCGGGGCCACAGTGGGCGTCATAGCAACCAGTCACAGGGTTAAGGTCGCTGGCTTTTTATATATATAGATGACATCAATTCCCCCCAAGAACACCATCTCTAAATAGCTCCCTCACCAGTTTCCTTTCCTACTGCACTCTCCCCTCCCTGCAAATTTCCAAACGTTATTGACACTTAAGTAGCATTCTAAAAAATCTGTACTTTTATAGTACATGAAGCACAGAAATTCCAACTCTATTTTTGTTTTGACAAAAAATTTATAGAATATTATCATATAAGAAAATATAGAAAAAGTTCAAAATATTACTAAATTAAAGCTGCTAATTTAACTTTAATTTTGAAAATGACATCATGAAATGCTTCTGTTATAAAAACAAAGAGTAGAGTTTCTAAATTAAGTACATTTTACTCAATTCAATCATTTTGTTTCTTGAAAGGCTGAGAGGGAACTAAGATAAAAATTACCCCCCAAAAAGGAGATGGTGGCTAAACACGAAAGTTAACACAGATTCATCCCATAAAAGAATTGTCTACTTTAACGTTAAGCTCTGCCTAGGGCCAGGTATTAATGGAAAGGCTGGAGTACTATTATATGGAGGTCAGTGACTACTCTGGATGACAGCTAAGACACCTTCCAACTATACGATGATGACCTTTACACTTACCTGTGTTTTCGCAGATATGTTTCTAGTGTTTCTAAAAGACAACTAGAGTCAATTAAAACTACTTCATCTCTGCATTCTTGGGACATTAGTTCCCATACGTCCATCCAACAACCTCTGCAGAAAGAAAAAAATATTAATAAGAAGGAGAAATATATAAGGGTAAAAAAAAAAAAAAAAAAAGGCAGAGTAAAGTGTTGCTTGATTTTACCTGGCTGTTCCCTGGAAAGGTCCATAATGCAAAATGATCCTACACTTGCTGTCCTTCCTGTGGTCTTCACTACTTCTCTTATCTGTACTTAACTTCTCTGAACTGACACTGCTACTGCTCCCTTCACTGTAGTACAGTATAGTACAAAGCTTAGTGACACTGAGATTATCTGAAGGAATAATTTCTATAGTCTATATTAAAATCATGAACTTTTTAATACATTAAAATATTAAATGAGTTTGAAAATTTGTATATATAATTGTATATTCCTTTTAACCATATTAAAATGTTAAACATGTGCTTATATCTTTACATAAAAACTCCTGCTCAACTATTAAGTTTACCTGATACAATTTAACATTTATATTTATCAAGGTAGTAACTGGTTAATATACTAAGCATTTTATGAGTAAATGTACTTGGAATGTTTTAAAGTGAAAAGGGCTGAAAAAAATTATATTCTCACCTATAAACATAGATCAATATTCCACAAATTGAAAATTATAACAAGTTTTGATCCACTCAATGTAATTTTGTAGCTAGTCCATGCAACAAAATGTTTATCTACCTTCACATTTAAGCTGGGAAAGTCACAGATTAACCTAATTATAGTAAATAAATTTTTATAGTTACTAAAATAAAAATAGCATACTAAGATACTTTAAACAGCCTAAATTAGTAATAAGTACTATACAAATAATTTTTCTTAAACTTACACTCTCCTCCACGGGTTTCAATGTGGTGCTGTCATGCATTTTGCTTAACTGCAATATGCATTCCAAGAGAAATGTGTATATTCCATTCAATGATAGTCTTAATTTTTCATAATTCTGAATAACTGGCTCCCTGTTCTTCTGCAGGTCCTCACTACAGTCCTTGCTTTGGGTGCTTGAGATGAAAAAACCTCAGAATCTTTACTTAACCTACTCTATATAGCTAAGTAGGTATTTTTCAACCACCTGCCCATGTAAGGCCATACATATAATTCAGCTCCCTATTCCCTCTCATAAGGGCTCAGGTCAAGGTTCAGTGCTCCTTATTTTTTAAACATAACCTCAACTCCTGCTCTGCCTCCCATATGACATCCTTCTTCTCTCAACTCCCATATTTCCTTTTTCTAATTATACTTGAGTGACCCATAATCTCCTAAAACTAAATAACTCTTGAACTCAAGTTCTCATAATTGAGGAAAACATTCATGAAATCAGTGCTGCCGAATGACTATTCTACAAATATGTAAAAGCGTTATTCTTAAAAAAGGTTTTTAAAAGATTATAGCTCAAATAAAGATTTTATCCATAATCTCTCTAGACCAAATGTTTTTATATCAATCCTTCCTTGCAAAATGAAACTTTTTGAAGAAGTCTTTCCACTTCCTTGTTCTACTCCTATACTTTCCACTCACAGCTTAATCCATTACAACCTTACAATGCATTCACTTTTTTACCCATTCCAATCTGGATTCTGCTTCCCCTCAATCACAGAGCTGCTCATCAAGATCACCAATGTCGTCAGCTTACCTCTCTGGCCATTCTTTCTCAAGTTTTCTTACTGACTTTTCTACTACTATATTGAATCCTCAGCGTTCTTTTCTCTTAGTCTACTCTTCCTCTTGGTGATTTTATATCTCATTCTCTAAGGTAACCTCTGATCATCAGCCAGAGGCCTATAACTCTGGCCCAGACCTTTCTTTCAAATCTCAATCTCACTCCCAGACAAAAAAAACGGGTTTACTTGCATGGTTATGAGAAAACTCTCAGGAAGACTAAATTGGATTGTTGCAATTGATTAGGCTGAAACCTAATCGAATGGATTATACTTTCCCTGGATAAAGTCTAAACAGAAAAGGGGAGGGGTGAAAACAGTGGAAATATATAAATGGAGAATCATCTATATCTATAAAAGCCTAAGTGACCGGAACCACTAGAATGACTGGTCACTATGACATGCAATGACCACCAGGGGGCAGACGCTCAACACAGGAGCTGCCTCCTGGTGGTCAGTGCACTCCCACAGCCAACCTCCCACAGTCTCTCCCCCCAGCCGGCAGGCCCTGATTGGGGGGGGCCAGTCCCCGGGCTGGGACGGGGAACTGCGGGTGGGTGGCAGGGAATGCGGCCCCTTTCCCAGGGGGGCCAAGAGTCAGCTCTCTCCTTGGGGCCAGTGGCCAACTGCCCATGCTCTGTCCCTCCCCCCAGCGAGCAATAGGCCTGCCACAATGGCAGCGTGTCAGTAAGGGAAGTGGGGGGAGGCGAGAACCCGCACAGGGCCAACGATGGCAATGTCGGCGTCCAGCGTCAGTTCCTTCCACGCCCGTGCAGCGACCATCACCTCCTCTCCAGCCCAGCCCTGATTAGCCTGGCCCCGATTGGCCCTGATGGCCGGCCAGGCCTAGGGACCCCACCCATGCATGAATTTCATGCACCGGGCCTCTAGTAGTATACAATGGCAGTGACCATCCAAAGTGGAAGAGAGGGAGTCTTGGCTAAGCAGACGGTACTCCCTGGTCTGCTTTCCATATATCATGTGGAAATAACTGAATAAGATCAACTAACTCAATTCATACTATTCCATAACTCGGCAAACAACTTTCTAAAACACTTGGCATTCCATGTGGTGGGCTGTAGGTGAAAGGGGATATAAACTCTGTGGAAGTTTGTTTTGTCTTAAGCTAAAGGACAGAAAACAGAGCTGTATGTCAACTTAATAAAAGTAACTAATAATACAAAGTCACTGAGAACAAGAGATGTAATCCAGAGCAAAAGTGGAAGAACTGGTGTTTGAAGGAAGGTGGCAATGAACACATATAAAAGATGTTGGGTAACCTGTTGCTTTTTAGTACCTTAATGAATATGCACAACAAAACAGAAGGCAGGCTTTTTATTATATCATTCTATTCTGTAGCTTTAGCCAAAAGGTCAGTAAAGGTTACTGTCTAATGAGAAAATCAGACTGAATTCTGCATTCACAAAGTCAGGAATTCTCTAAGGATATTGTTAAATCAGTTATGTGAAATAACAGTTATCCTTAGATAACCACTTTAGTTTATTTACTGTATTCACAGTACTCTCACATTTAGACATCATGTAATGTGTGATTTTTGTTTGGATCCTGATGCTAGCAAATCAAAGTAAAAAGACACTTTTTGAGACAGATGTAAAAAATCTGACTATAAACTAGGTATTGGATTATTACAGTTTATTTTGTTAGCTGTTATAATAGCACTATCATTATGAAATAAAATATATTTATATTTAGAGATACATGTGGAAATGTGCAGGAGTAAAACAACATGATACCTGACTTGTTTTTAAGTGCTTCAGCAAAGAAAAACGTAGATAAGAAAAACAAATGTGGCAAATATTGATAACTACTGCTGAATCTGGGTAAAGGTATTTGGGGGGAAGGAAATCCTTGTAGTCTATTTTTCTATGTGTTTGACAGTTTTCATAATAACATTTTTAAAAAACGTTTGTTTCTGATTACAGAAAAAGTCTTGTTAATAGATTATTAACACCACTTTGACATCCAAGTCTTTTTATCAAGGGAGGAAAATGTTTATACAACAATGATATCAATACTACTAAGGAGATATTCAAAGCTAGTTTTTTAAATTAATTCAGAAGTATAGTTTTTACATTATCCAATTCTTTCAAAAACTGAAGTTACGTCTTACAAACTCTCTTCAAAATCCATGGCTTCTCCTTACCACCTACAACCCCAAACAACTTTGTAGGGGGCAACTGTGATATTGTATTAGGAGATGAAGGCAGAAGCAGCCTTGGGCATTATATCACCTAACCAAGAAGAAAACTGCAAATTAGTTACATAAATATTGCTATAACTGATTCAAGCCTTTTTTTTTTAATCCTTATAAGTTATTAGGATAAGAAAGACAAGAAAAATAATTTATATATTATGAATATTAAATAAATCAAAGAATGATATCAGTACTTTGAAAAACTTAATATTGGCTACATAAATTTCCACAAACATCTCCACCTCTTTCCTCTGAAACATTTACATAAACAAACTTTTTAAAAAAATCAAATCTATATTGAGAACCTGTATAGTATCAAAAAGGCCTACATAAATAGGAAACATATTTTGACTTTTGTTATGTATAACCAATTAAAGAAATAAAACTCAGTGTTTTCTTTTTACTAAACGTAATCAACATTTATAATCTTAACAATGACAAAGTATCTTGATATTCAATTCTACTTACCCCAAAGGTTTTGGTTTGTGCGTATCTAAGGAGTGCAACTGACATCTCTTGTTCTTTTTACTTTTTGGAATAGCATCTATCATGTCATTTAGTTTGGACCTAATTAAAAATAAACCATTAAAGGTTTGATTAATATTTATTTTTCTTGCCCTGGCCAGGTAGCTCAGTTGGTTAGAGCATCATCCCAATACTCCAAGGTTGTGGGTTTGATCCCTAGTCAGGGCACACACAAGAATCAACCAATAAATGCATAAATAAGTGAAACAACAAATCAATGTTCCTCTCTCTCTCCCCCTCCTCTCTTTCTAAAATAAAAAATTGTTTAAATATATTTATTTTTCTTTAAAATTTCCAAATATCTATTTACCACCTTTTGCTATATTTAAAGTATTATAAACACATCACTTACTTAGAAAATTTCTTATCAAATTCTAACCAAAAAGAGTCTGTACACTAGCCTTCCCATTCCATTCTGTCAAAATGTTAAAGGAGACCTGCTTTATTCAACATACTTTCTCCCAGATTGCATCTGTCTCATTCATCCCCTGCATCTGCACTTTATCTAGCAGTGTACCTGAAATATTTTATTTGATTGCTACCTCTTAGTCACCTTCCCTTGTCCAAACATTATCTAAATATATACTAACTATCCTTGATGAGAAGCCATCAACAGAAATTTTATGCAAATACAGAATATGTACAGCTAACATCCATACCTTACATCCAACTAATCAGGAAAGCCTGGAAACAAACTTTATATGCAGAATCAAACCACTTCTCATCACCTCCATCATCACCACCACCCTTGCCCAACTTCTCCTCTCTAGCTCAGACAATGGTAACAGTTGGCCTCCCAAATGGTCTTTTTGCCTTTACATTCTAAGGCTTCACATTTAGCAGCTGGAATGATCTTTTCAAAACTACAATCACATTATGTTATACTCTGTTCAAAAACCACCCAAAGCATTTCTCAGACAGAATAAAAATCCAAAGTCTCTACCACCACCTCTAAATAAGAAAGCCCCAGGGTTTGGTCTTCAGACCTCTTCTCTTTTCCTATTTATACACTTTTTGATGATCAAATCTCATATCATTGTCTTAAATTTTATATGTATGTGTCTGTGTCTAATATACCATATATTTATATACTATATATTTAAATACTATAGTTATATTTTAAGTATAAATGCACATATATGTATGTTCCTATACATATACGTATGTGTGTGTGTGTGTGTGTGTGTGTGTGTGTATGCTAGTTAAACAAATTTACATCTCTCAGTCAGAGCTCTCTGAACTCGACTTGGATGCCAAGTTGGTATCTCAAACTTAACACAGCCAGCCCTGGCCAGGTAGCTCGGTTAGAGCATTGTCCTGATATGGAAATGTTGCAGGTTCAATCCCAGTCAGGGCACATACCAGAATCAACCAAAGAATGCACAAATAAGTGGAACAACAAATCAATGTTTCTCTCTTTCTCTCTCAAATCAATCAATTTTTTTTAAATGCTCATGCCTAACCACTTCTTTGGGTCCTTATTTCCTTATGAAGGCTCCCTTATCATGTAAAATTTGCATCAAATTTAACATGTCCAAAAGTGAGCTCTGCAAAATTGCTCCTTCCAGTCTTATCCATCTCAGAAAATGGAAACTATTTGTTCTAAGAATCATCCCTGATACCTTCCTCCCACATCCAATCTATCCAAAAATCCTGTTGGCTCATTCCTCAAAAATACAACCAGGATTCAACCATTTATTACCTGTTATCTCTCACATGGATTATTAAACAGCCTGTTTCTCTGCCTTTTCTCCATCTTTCCATTTATTCTCAACACAGAAGTCAAAGTAACGGAAACTTCAAATCAAAACCCTCCCAAATCTTCCCATCTCACTCAGAATAAAAAAGGCCTCAAGATGGCACTACATAATTGGGCCTTTATTACTCCTCTGACCTCATCTGTTATTACTATTCCCTTCATTCATCTGGCTCCAGCTGTTCAATGGCTTCCTTGCTGTTCTTCAAACGTGTCAAGAAACCTCAACTTCTGAACCTTTACACTTGCAGCTCCTTCTCTTCCCCCAGATATCTACGTTTCACTCACCTCATTCAAGTCTATATTCAATGTTATAAGAGGCCTTCCCTAACCATTCTCCGTATTAATTCTACCCACTCATTCTCTATCTTCCTGATTTTTCTCTGCAATATCATACCTGACAAATTATGTATTTGCTTATGGCCTGCCTCTCCCCATATGAAAACAGAAATTTTATAGTCACTGGCACATATAAGTTACTCAATAAAATTACTGATTTGGAATCAAGATTTACTCCAACCAAATTTAGAATAAAAGCTACCACTGTCACCAAGTTAAAAAACTTAACAAACCCATTTTTTCCTAATTGATTATACTTACCCATGTACATAAAATAATGTATAAAGTTTCTTTGCATCAGTCATACAGCTTCGAGTTACAGATAAAACTCCCTTGGGCCCTATTGTCAGGGGTTCAAGGGCAGGATTTCCAGACTCTACAAGCTGGGAAAAGAGGCGCTCCACACTGCGACGACAACCAACACACGGGACAAGCTGAGAGAGTGCACTCAGGACTTCACGTGACGTCACCACCATGGCAATACTTAGATCTTGTTGTTTAAGCATACTATGTCGCTGAAAGAAAAATGAAGAATCCTTAAGAAACACATAAAATTACTCTTTTACTACTACTTCTGGTTCCTATCCTTGTGCATTAAGTACAACTTGGGCAAGGCTTGCCATGTCTATCTGCAACTGAGTCAAAAAAAGCAAAGTAGCCTAGCTAGTGTGACTCAATGGTTGAGCATCCACCCATGAATTAGGAGGTCGTGGTTTAATTTCAGTCAGGGCACATGTCTAGGTTTCGGGCTCAATCCCTAGTAGGGTACATGCAGGATGCAGCCGATTAATAATTCTCCATCACTGATGCTTCTGTCCCTCTCTCCCTCTCCCTAAAATCAATAAAAGCATATTTTTAAAAAAAGGCAAAATGGTCAGCCTTGTCCATATGATACTGTTTGCTGCATAAACTCCCCTTTCTAGAAACTAGGTTATAAAAAGCTCTGCTTAGGATGTGCCCCAGCATAGCAAAAAGAAGCCCTGCATTTGGAAATTTAGTGTTTATTCAAGTATTAAGTTTAATACTCTTGCTTTAAATTGGAAAAAAAAGAGAAAAAAAGACAGTGCAGCTTTACCATGTCTTCTCAACTTTTAACAACACACTATGTTTAGCTACAGGAGTCAAGTTAGGATGGTGATCACGTAGAACAGCAATTCTTAACCTGGAGGTATGGACAGGTGTGTTATGGATTAGTGGGCAAGAACAACGCCTATCGTACCTATGTAGGAACCTGCCATGAGTAACTAATATGCTGGTGCATATGAATGTTACCTGTTGGCTATGACAAGGTTGAAAAATGACTGAAAACTACAGCTGTAGAGAAATGGGCAAAGCTTTAGTAAATAACTACTACCTGAATGGAGTTATAGTTACACTATAAGTAATGCCTCCAGCTTTACTAAAAAAACCAGATGGAAAAGTAAGTTTACACCTAAAATGGATTTTTCTCACATTTACTATTAACCATTCATTCAAATTTTACTCCAAAGGCAGAAACAGAATTCTGAAATAAAGTAACAATTTATCCTCCATTATCTTAAATATATATAGTGTATTATAAAGTATAATACTGCATAAAAATTAAATAATCACAAATAGTAACACAACACAGGGTTAATTTTTTTTTTTACTTGAATAAAAATTACTATAGGAGAAAATCAACAAGTTTTCAATGAAAAGTTGTATACCTTATCTTTAAAAAACAGGAAAGATGACCTAGTGAAATTAAAGCCATATAGACATGTAAAATGTTAACACACCAAAACCTAATCTCTTTCACATGAAAAGTACATAAATATATTCACTGTAGCTATAATAAAAGCAACTTCAATGTAATCTTAAGACCTAAAGAGCCCTAAGTAAAACAAAATTAATACGGCTAAAATTTTCAATGACTCTTTAAAACACCCCCCCCCCCCCCCCCCACACACACACTTTAAAAGACTGGGTTTTAAAACTATTACCTGAATAAACTGCTTTAGTTGTGCACCATTATTTTGATGGCCATCAAGATTTAATACATTGTCAGGAAATTCCATCACCATCTTAATATGCAAAAGAATAAAAAATCAATTATTTTATCTTCTTTGAACACGTTATAGATTATTTTACAAACTCTTAGGACAGAAATAGACACCCCCACCCCAACCCCACCCCCCCACCCCCCGCCCCGCCCCGCAACTCAGATTCCCCCACCTGCCATCCTGCTCTCTGCCAAAAAAAGGTATTTTCTGTTTGTTTGTTTTTAAAAATCCAAGTTATACAAGTTTCTAAAGCCAGAGAGTTATAGCCATTAGGCACAAAAACACTGAAGTCAGGCAGATATGAGTTCAAACCCCAGTTCTGTTGCTTACAATCTATGTCATAATTCTGGGCAAGTTACTTAACCTTAACCTGTCTGATTTTTAGCTTCCTCGTTTGTAAAATGAGATTACATAATAAATTTTAATATCTTTCACATAGTGAGTTGTGAGGATTAAATTATATTTTAAAGTGTTTATTGCGGTGGCCTATAATAGCATTTAACCTGATATTTTACATTAAATACGTTGACATTTTTAGTTATTCCTCTTAACTATGGAATTCAGTAAATCTCATAATGAAATAATAATATATATATGATACATATATCATATATGAATGAGAAGAACTCCGATCAGTACTTGGCACATAGTGTTTGCTCTAATTATGAACAAAAAGGATACACTGAGGTATTTATTCAATTATCAAAATTCCATTACCAGAGGAGAAATATAAAAAAGCTTAAGGAGATTTCAGGATATCAGATAATGGGGAATTAGTAATTAACACATTTCAATGAGCTGTAATAGCACTGATACGAAGAAGTACCATAGTTAGGAGCTATTATAACTAGGATATCACCAAATGAAAGAAGCAACCCAATTCCAGAGATGTTAAAAATATGGAAAAAAGTTTGCCTTCAAGACAATGAAATAAAGTAACACATTCATATCTTAATTAAAACATTGTAAAAGGTATCAAACATACTGTGCTAGAACAAACTTCTATTTCCAGATGACAAGACCGCAAACTCCTACACACCCAAAGAGTGAAGTCAGGTTTAAGAGAGACCCATTTGAGGCAAAAAACAAAACACTAAAAAACCCCACCAAGTTGAAAGTGATCTTAAAGAGATACCTCCCTTCAACCAGCAACACAAAGACCTGCTTCTTTAATGGAGGTAACCATTCTTTTCCCTCCATCCTATCTAATAAAAGAGAAACATGGTAATTGGCGTACGACCGCTACCCTTCCCATTGGCTAATCAGGGCAATATGCAAATTAACTGTCAGCCAAGATGGCGGCCGGCAGCCAAGCAGCTTGAAACTAACATGAGGCTTGCTTGCTTCAGTGATGGAGGACTCCAACGTTCCCCGCCTGTCCCTGCAGGCCTCTGAGCTGCAAGCAACTATGTAACAAACATAGAAGCTAAACAAAACCCCAGAAACCTGCCGGGCTTCAGCCAGCAGGATCGCAACATTGTAAGCAAAGGCCAGAAACCTACTTTCAGCAGCAGAGGCCTAAGAGCTGGAGCCAAGCCTCAAAGCTAAAGTTGGCCCAGAATAAAAAAAAAAAAAAGAAAGAAAAAAAGGAGCAGTTGGGAGCTTCAGTCACCCCCAGCCTGAAAACAGCCCTCAGCTCCTCACCCAGACTGGCCAGGCACCCCAGTGGGGACCCCCACCTTGAAGGGTGTGTGACCAGCTGCAAACAGCCATCATCCCCTCACCCAGGCTGGCCAGGCACCCCAGTGGGGACCCCCACCCTGAAGGATGTGACCAGCGGCAAACAGCCATCATCCCCTCACCCAGGCTGGCCAGGCACCCCAGTGGGGACCCCCACCCTGATCCAGGACACCCTTCAGGGCAAACCAGCTGGCACCCACCTGTGCACCAGGCCTCTACCCTATACAGTAAAAGGGTAATATGCCTCCCAGCACCGGGATCAGCGGAGCCGCGAGGCCTCCCGGCACCGGGATCAGCATGACAGGGGGCAGCGCCCAAACCCCCTGATCGCCCTGCGGCTCTGTGTGTGACAGGGTGCGGCGCCCCAACCTCCCCCCCCCCCCCATGGGCCCTGCTCTGTGTGTGACGGGGTTGAGCCATAACCTCCCCATCGGCCCTGCCCTGAGTGTGAGAGTGGCGGCACCCCAACCCCCTGATCGGCCCTGCTCTGTGGGTGATAGAGGGCTGCGCCCCAACCCCGATTGGCCCTGCTCTGTGCGTGACAGGGGGATATGCCCCAACCCCCTGATTGGCCCTGCTCTGTGCATGACGGGGTGGCGCCGCAACCTCCCCATCAACCCTGCCTTGAGTGTGACAGGGGACGGTGCCCCAACCCCCCAATCGGCCCTACCCTGAGCGTGACTGAGGGTGGAATCACAACCTCCAATGGCCCTGCTCTGTGTATGACAGGGGGCGGCACCCCAACTCCCCAATCGGCCCTGCTCTGAGCCCGACCAGGGGCTGCACCTAGGGATTGGGCCTGCCCTCTGCCACCCGGGAGCAGGCCTAAGCCAGCAGGTCGTTATCTCCTGAGGGGTCCCAGACTGCGAGAGGGCACAGGCCGGGCTGAGGGAACCCCCCTTCCCCCCGAGTGCACAAATTTTTGTGCACCGGGCCTCTAGTATTAGAAATAAGGGCCTTAAAAGATGCTTGTTCTAACAATAAACTAAGAACTGAATAACTAAGACAAGTGTAAAACATATATATAAGACCTTTTTTTCTTTTTAAATATGTTTTTGTTGATTTCAGAGAGGAAGGCATAAGAGGAAAGTGAAACATCAATGATGGGAGAGAATAATTGATAAGCTGTCTCCTGAACGCCCCTCACTGGGGATCAAGCCCGCAACCCAGTATGTGCCCTGACTGGGAATCAAACCGTGACCTCCTGGTTCATAGGTACAATGCAGAACCACTGAACCACACTAGTTGGGCAAAACACAAATAAATTTAACTGTCAAGTCACAAAAGAAGTATAAGATAAACTTTTAAAGCCACTTAAGCAAACATTGCCAATCACTCCAAATCTACCATTTAAGCAACTAACACCTTGATTTGCATTTTCTCTTTACTTGATATAAATATATACCATATCACCACATATCAATTGCTACCATACAAAAATATTTTAAGAAAATTACCTACAGCCCTAGCACTGAAGGGTCCTGGGTTCAATTCCGGTCAAAGGCATGTACCTCAGCTGTAGGCTCCCCAGCCTGCTCAGGTTGTGTGCATGAGGCAACCAATCAATGTGTCTCTCTCACATCGATGTTTCTCTCTGTCTCTCCCTCTCCCTTCCACTCTTTCTAAAATTCAATGGAAAAATATCCTAGGACTATATCCCAAGAAACCAGAAACACCAATCAGAAAGGATATATGCACCCCTATGTTCATAGCAGCACAATTTACAATAGCTAAGATTTGGAAACAACCTAAGTGCCCATCAGCAGATGAGTGGATTAAAAAACTGTGGTACATCTACACAATGGAATACTATACCGCTATAAAAAAGAAGGAACTTTTACCATTTGCAACAGCATGGATGGAACTGGAGAGCATTATGCTAAGTGAAATAAGTCAGTCAGAGAAAGATAAATATCACATGACCTCACTCATATGTGGGATATAATAAACAACATAATTTGATAAAAAAAACAGATCCAAAGACAAATGGCAGGGGAGTTGGGGGGGTTAGAGAGCAACCAAAGGACTTGTATGCATGCATATTATTATAACCAATGGACACAGACACTGGGGCAGTGGGGGCTTGCCCGGGGTGGGAATGGCTGGCGGGGGAGGAGGGGAGGGAGGGTTCAACTGGGGAAAAAGGAGACATATGTAAAACTTTAGACAATAAAAAAATTAAATTAAATTAAAATTTTTTAAAAAAGAAGAAAAATATCCCCAGGTGAGTATTAACCAAAGAGAGAGAGGGAGAGAGGGAAAGGAAGGAGGAAGGAAAGAAGAAAGGAAGGAAATTACCTACAGTATTTTAAGATCAAAGCTATCAATTTAAGAAATATGCAAAGTGCCCTGACCAGGAATTGAACTGGCAACCTTTCAGTGCACAGAACCATGCTTAACCAACTGAGAAACTCAGGCAGGGCAAATAGACCTGATTACCATGTATTTTCTAGGTTTCACTGGCATGTATATTACTAAATTTTCTCTTGTACTTACTCTGCATTCACAATAAATACCCTGTCCTTGCTTTTCAAACATTTAGGAGAATGGGTATTTTACCTTGCAGTTTTCTGGCCACTCAATATATACTTAACATTGAGAGATGATAATAAGAAAAAGGGGGAAAGGGACACAAAGAGGATAGATGCACTATTTTTCCCCCCATTCTTTAAAACCACTTCAGATTGACTTAAATGTTCAGATGCTAGCTTACCTAAAGGAAGACAGTCATGCAAAGTATTTTAAGCATGGCTTCAAAGAGGAATCATTAGTGTTCTGCTTCACCATGAGGCTGCCTATCCCTCCTAGTCAAAAATAGAACGAGTCATGGTCCTGAAATTATTGCTTTATAAAGTTTATTGAATCCATTACTCACTTTCACTCTTAAGTATCTGTCCTGGTTTCCACCTGACCATAAATCTGGTTTTTACAGCATTCTCATAAATTCTAATCAACAATATTAAGTTTGTATTTATTAAAAACAAGAGGCCCGGTGCACACGGGTAGGGTCCCTAGGCCTGGCCAGCAATCGGGGCCAGCCTACCTACCTACCTGCCTGCCTGCCTTCCTTCCCTCCCTCCCTCCCTCCCCAGCTGCCAGCTGGGGCCTTCCTTAGTTCCGTGCCACCCCCTAGTGGTCAGCGCACGTCATAGGGAGCGACTGAACTCCCAAGGGGACACTTTGCATATTAGCCTTTTATATATATACTAGAAGCCCAGTGCACAAAAATTTGTGCACTGGCGGTGGGGGGGGGGGGTCCCCTCAGCCCAACCTGTGCCCTCTCACAGTCTGGGACCCCTCGGGAGATAACCACCTGCTGGCTTAGGCCCACTCCCCTGGTGGCAGATGGCACACCCAATCCCGTGGTGTCTGCCCCGTCTCCCCCGGTTGCAGATGGCAGGCCCGGATCCCGAGCTGGGTTGGGCGGCCGCTCAGATAGTGCTGCCACCCGCGCGCGCGCGCACACACACACACACACACACACACACACACACACACACGGCAGGCCAGGATCTCACGCTGGGGCGGCCAGGGATTGCGCTGCCGCCAGCCCCAGGCGGGGAGGTGCAGCGGGATTTGCCGGCAGTATGCAAATTAGCCGGCATCTTTGTTGGCAGTTAATTTGCATATCATGCTGATTAGCCAATGGGAGGTGTAGTGAAGGTAGGATAGAAGATCATTGTTGCCCAGCCTGAGTGGCTCAGTTGGTTGAGTGTCGTCCCATGCACTGAAAGGTTGCCAATTTTATTCCTGGCACATATTTGGGTTGTGGGTTTGATCTCCAGTTGGGAAACATACAGATAGCAACTGATCGATGTTTCTCTCACATTAATGTTTCTCTGTCTCCCCTCCCCCCCACCTTCCTCTCTCTAAGTATGTCTTCAGTGAGGTTTAAAAAAATAAAAATCATTGTCACCTCAGTTTTTTATTTCATCCTCACAATTATTTGTAACATTACCTTTAGTAATACTTAGTAAAATTATTTAATCAAGAGTTAAAACATTAAATACTAAATTTTTAACAAACGCTAAGCACCTAATTTCCAAGAGGATATGCCTAACAATTATCATCTTTTTAAAGTCCTATTAAAAACCCTATCAGAGTTTCTAATCCACTTAGATTGGTTTGAATTAGGAGGGTAAACCTCGTTCCAGAAATGCTATAGCAATATGATAGTATGTATCAATAACTTTATAAAAGGTCCTTATCCTTTGATCCAATAATTGTACTTTCAAAAGCCTGAGAGAAAAAATTTAATGCAAAGGTTTATGCATTATTTATATTCTTACAGTATTAATTACAGCAAAAACGAGAACCACCTCTATGTCCACTAAAGAATGATTAAATTATGGGATCTCACAACGAAGTATTACATGGCCATTAAAGTTGTTTAAGAATAACAAGAGAAAACATTCTCAATATTTAGTGAAAAAAGGCAAGATATAAAATGTTGAGACTACATCTCAACCTGTATCTCTGTGTGTGTCTATCTGAAGTATATATTTTCACTCTCTTCATTTTTAAAAGAACTACTCACTTAAAGTTGTAATTTTTCAGATTGCTATAAAATAATTATCTTCTATCCATCTGCTATTTTATAATTCTAGTAACACTGAACAGCATTTTGGCCACATAGCATGCCATTTTCCCAAATATTCCAACAGCTTACTTACTTGGGATTTTCCCAAATACACCTACAGCAGCACTGTACTTGTTTTCAAACCCACTAAACTACCACAAATCTTTTAATATGTGTGTGTGTGTGTGTGTTACTGATTTCAGAGAGGAAGAGAGAGGGAGGGAGGGGTAGAAACATGCCCGAAACCCAGGCATGTGCCCCGAACCAGAATGGAACCATGACCTCCTGGTACATGGATCAATGCTCAACCACTGGGGCACACTGGCTGGGCTTCCACACGAGTCTCTTACATGTGGATACAACATCTATACTAATAAAAGGGTAATATGCTAATTAGACTGGGAGACCTTCCAGACATCCTTTCCGGACAAAACCATGGTGGCGGGGCTGAGGCAGAGGCGGGGGGGCAGTTGGGGGCGAGCAGGCCAGCAGGGGCGGGCAGTTGGACATCCCCCAAGGGGCCCCAAATTGGAGAGGGTGCAGGCTGGGCTGAGGAACACACACACACACACACACATGAATTTCGTGCACTGGGCCACTAGTCCTATATAATAAAAGCATAATATGCAAATCGACCGAACAGCCGAACAATGCTATGACACCCACTGGCACGAGGCCAGCCAAGGCGGGTGCAATGTGATTGGTTGGGGGCCAAGCCATCACCCAGGCTATCACCCCATGATTGCCCCACAGAGGCAGGCCCAGGCCACTGACTGGCAGGCTTCGGTGGGTGGGACCTCCTTCTGTAAGGGAAACCGAGTCCCAGGTGCCGGCAGGCAGAGGGAAGCCCAGGTCCAGGGTGCCGGCAGCTGGAGGGAAGGAAGGCCTACTCTTGCACAAATTTCCTGGATCGGGACTCTAGTATCACAAAAGAGGAGGCTACTTCTTCACATATAAACCTAGTTTCATTTTACAAATACAATTTAAAATAGCCAGTTTAACTAAGGCTAGAGATTTCAGCATCTGTTACAATGATAAACATTTGTAACTGACTGTACCTGAATTTAACATCTAGGAGCTAACAAGATTCTGAAACTACTAGAAATAAAGATAACACAATGTTTTCTCCTGCCTTACCTATGGACCCTAGGAACAAATACCAAACCAACTGTTAACTTCAGGGATACACTGCTGTCAAACTATCAGTGGACCAGTGTGCAGAGAATCAACCTCTGCTCTACCTTCCCTCTTCCCAAACAGGTGTTTGCTTTAAGTAGAATTGGTAGAATAGTTCTGAAAGAAATTTGTTTCCCTAAATATAATGCATTGTTGACAAGAATTTTCACTAATCAGCATTCAATGTCTGCAGTTCAAGACAAAAGCAATAAATAGTCCCACTCATTCCCTATTGACAAAAACCCTTCCAAAACAAAGAAAAACTGCACCTTTTCCTAAATAAAATGCTATTTTAAGATATTTAAATTAAGTAATCCTAAGTTGTATTTGCCTTGGTCAGAAGCTCACAATGCAATAAAGGCAAAATTCAAGTTCAGTAGAAAACAACTTCTCTGAAGAAATAAGTACAATAATACATCACAGTGCAAGGTTTTTCTATGGAAACTAGTTTCATTGTACAGAGAGTATAAAAACACTCCCAAAGTTGTCTATTTTAATGTGCTATATATCAGATATACCAATGCTGCATTAAAGGTGGTTATGTGGTCATAAGGAGAGAAATCAGTTTATCTCCTTTTTTTTTGTAAATACTCAAATTTATGTTGATTTCCTCTATACTATATTATACACTCAATAGTAATCTATGTCCAAATCCAAAGGATACTTTTTAAACTTCAAAGGCATTCTGGGATAAACATAAAAGGTTGATACTAATCTATGTGCTCCAGAAAAGTGTTGGAGGGGTAGTAGAGAAGAAAATTATTGACAAATGAACTCTTATTAGGTGTTTTCAAATTGAGATATGTACCTTTTAATATAATCAGAGTGCTAATTTTTTAAACTGCTTAAAATACAAGTCCAATATACTTTTAATGCAAAAAGTGCAAAAATCATAACCAAGGCATTCAAGTATTTCTAATTCATCAACACAAATTCTATTTAAATCATAGCAGGCCAAATCATTCTACCTTTTCCCAAGAAAACAAAAATTATCTCAGGTAATTATAGATGCTTTCTCTTAAAAACTTCTAACAACTTGAAACCTATATGATCCTATTAACCAATGTCACCCCAATAAATTTAATTTTTTTTTTTAAGTTCTAACAAATTAAGTCATTCAATAGCTCTTCTAATCCTTTTTAAAATACTGCAGCTCATTCAAGTCTTAATTGAGACTGGCAAACAGAAGGGCATAGAGTGGCATCTCTACAATGACTTGCACTTTATATAAAATTTGAAAAAAATAGACATTTTTAAAAAAAATTCAGGAACAAAACAGATCAACTGCCTTTGAAAAACAAAAAAGCCAAAGAGAAGAAAATGAAGAGACCAGTTACAACTTATAAAAATAGGCAAATAGGCTTCGGCATTATCAAAATAGATTTCAGAAGATATTGTGAATAGAATCATTTCATTTCTTAGGAAATAGTGGCAAGCAACTGCACTCATTTCCTGTTCAGGTTCAATTCAAATTTCTGCCATTTCCTTTTAAAGGAAATACTACAGCAACACAGGGCAGAAGATCTGTAATACTGCACTACCACCAAATCTAAAAAGGAAAACTACCCAGAACTAGGTTTTGACATTCAAGATGAACAATCAGCTTTTTATTGTGCTTTTACACCTTCGATAATTTTGCTTCCTTAAAAAAAAAGAAGAAAACTAAAGACCAATGCCAAAAAGCCCATTTTGAAGAGTCATGGCCTAGCAGTAAAATCATTTCTAAGAGTTTTAATGTAGTAGACAAACACAACACTACTTACAAGGAAATCAGAGCACTTAAGTGGAATTTTTACTGTGCAAGAGCATGTCACTGTGTCCTCAGTAATTATACTTATGCGGTGAGAGCTGCAGCATTAAGATAGACAATATATAGGTAGCACGGTGGCTGCGACACTGCCAGATAATTAAGCCTCCCCGAGGGGAGGTGGTTTCTGGAAGGCATAGGCCCTAAGTGCCCAAGATCCTTCAACCCCTCTCCGAGGCGCGTGCTTTGGCAAAAGCAGCGTCTCCGAAAGGGACAGGGTAGAGGAAAACGGTTCAAAAAGGAAGGAGAGCCTGGGGACAGGGGCTCCAAGTGGGTACGGAAAGCTAGGGGCCTGCAGAGGTTACCGAGGGACCCACTGCAAAGGCTAGTTGGTGGGGCCTGCCGGAGAAAAGGCCTCGCCTAGGAGTTGCAACACACTCTTTCTCCAGTGCGCAGCGCTCGGCCTGGGGGAGGGGGAGGAGGGAAACAGCTGCCAGGGAGCGGAGAGCCCGACCCGGCCCGCTCACCGTGAGGGTGTCGTCTATGTAGAGGGGAATCTGCCTCCTCTCGAAGGGGAACTCCTCTTCCCCGTCCCTGCACACTGCCACCAGTCGCGCCATCGTCCCCGACGCTGCCGTTGCCACCGTCACCACCTCCTCCCAGCTGCTGCCGCCGCTGCTGCTCCTGCTGCCGGCGCCTCCTCCCAGCTCCTGCCTGCAACAGCCAAACGCCGCGAGCTTCAGCACCCGCCGCCGCGCAGCACATTCGCCACGGGGGGCAGGGAGAAAAGCCGGAGGGGACTGGAGAGTCGAGCTGCGTTTCCCATCACCCGATTCCACACGCGCTCAGCCAATCAGCGCCGAGCGCGGACGGGACCCGCCCCCTCGCGCCGCGGGCCCTCCCCACCCCCCACCGCGGCCGGCCGGCCTCCAGTCAGGGTCCAAAGGAGAGGCGGAAGGGACTCTGCGGCCTCGGTGCCTCCCCAGCCCGTCACCGGGACCCTGGCTCCAGAACCACCACCCAGTGGCCGCTCCCCGCCGCCGGGGAGCCCATAGCTGACCCCGTTCTCCCTTCTCTCTTGGCGCGCCCCGCCCAGCCAGTCCCCTGGGCTGCAGTTGTCCAGTGCGACCCCGCCCCTGGGAGGGGTAGACCCCGCCTCGGCTCTGCGGAGTCCGAGGAGGAAGGTTCAGACCCTTTCCTCACCGTTCTCGGAAAAGGCCTCTGGGCTCTGACCTTCACCGTTTTCGTGGTCGCCTCCCTGATCCCCACCTTTGCTCCCCGTTACCGGCTGAAGAAGCCCGCGTCAGGACCAGCCTGGGCGGGAGTGCGGCGCCGAATGCCGTTTCCCCTCCGGTATCAGCCGCTCGCGCCACGGGGAGTGGGGGAGGGAGGGCGGGGGACTGGAGGAGGGTGGGGCCAGGAGGGGCGGAGAACGCCGGGCGGGGCTCCTCCTCCTCTCGCGAGACTGGAGACCGGCACTGCCGGCTCTGCAATTTCAAAACCCTGCTGGCGGGGTTGGGGTGCCCCGCAGGCCATCCGGAGCCGGTGGCCTGCGCCCTCCCGCGAGTGTGAAACAGGAGGGCGTGAGTGGGCCTCAAGCTCTGGCCCCCGCCGCGCGGGCTGGGAGCCGCTCTCCCGAGGGGCGGAGGGAGCCGAGCCGAGGGGACGCGGGGCCCACCCGAGGGTCAGGCCCCGTGAGGACCTGGCTGCGTGGGCAGGAGCGGAGGCTTCCGAAATCCGGAAGGAGGGACGAGCGCCTGCGGGCGGAGAGACACACTCTGGGCTGGGCTTCCAGGTACTGGACGTCGCTTCCCCAGACGAGCCAGCCGCCTCACTGCTTCCCAAGGGCTGCGCTGCGATCCCGCCCAGCAGCCCGCCAGCTCTGAGCGCTGACAGTACGTTGTTGTCGCTGTTAAACTCAGAGGCAAACAGACGGCTGTGTGAGAGCGGCTTGTGTCCTGGCCAGAGAAACTTCTCGGGTTGGTTAATATTAACTCAGGGACGCAGGCAGGACACCAGCTCCCTCGGGCAAAGTACCGGTACCGGCCAAAGGCCCTCCCTCCTCGCCCTCTCCCGGGGAGCGGAGGGGCCTGCCCTGGACGGTTCGCCCACGCGCCGCGCGCCACCGTGGAGTCAGCGCCTATCCGCCTACCCGGAAGGCCTGTTACAAAGCCACAATGATTGAGGGGAGGTATTTAGCCATTTGCTGCTCTTACAACTAATCCTGACAACAGATCTGTATTTCCTGGGAGAATAGAGCTGTGATACTGACCTTTAAAAAATGTTCTGGTCATCACATGCAGTCTTGGAGATTCACAACAAACCCCATAGTGCATCCTTAGCCATGTTGGCTTTTGACATTGTGTGGTCACTGTTAGTGCAGGTGACATAATAAACCGGAAGAACCATTGTTCAGTCCCAAAAGTGTGATTTTCCAGTAATTATTTATGTCTTTTGGTCATGTCAGGAGAGCAAAGCAGTGTGGTTGTTAGCTTAAATCCAGTGGGTAACTAGGATTGCATGCAGCTTCTGATAGGTTAGACCACATAGCCAAGGCATCTTTAGAGAATCTTCTGTTTTATGTAAAAACAATCCTAAAAAGAATACTGTGGCTTTTAAGATCTAAAGGTGCTCCTATAAAGACTATCAATTCATATAAGAACTGTATACCTTTTAAACTTTCTTTGAAGTACGGTAGAAAAGAACATTGAAAATGTTCAAGATAATAGGTGCTAATTTTAATAACTTTTGTAACTGAGTACACACTGGTAACTAGCAAAGAACAGAATTTAAATGGAGATTTAAATATAAGAAAAGGATTTAAAATCCAAATATAAAACATAAGGAAATCACAACAATCTCTTTCCATCTGAGATTACCTGGTTTGAATTTCTTTTGTCATTTAGGTCTACTAAGCACACTGCTAACTATCTTTGGACAATGTTTCACATACTATAGGTACTCGGTACTTAAAAGGTGGATAATTTGCTACCTAAGTTGCTTTCTTAAAGAGGTAAGGAGATAGGGTGGGTGCTACAAATATCAAAATCATATTGAAGGAAAATATTTAGAAAGTTATTTCATTGCAAAACAATTTCTATAAGTTTTAACTATGTATCTTCTTAGTTTTAGAGCAGGCACTCATTTTTATTTTTAGTTAGTCTATCTTCAGCTATAACCTATAGTGCTGCAGCAAATACTTCATGACTAAGTATCTGCCTTTACAGAGCTTATCTCTAATTGACAAAATAAGTGATTACTATATAAAAAAACCTATCATTGCCTATTTTTAAATTTCAGTATTGGCATTGTGAAGGCCAAGGTCGAAGGATCTGAAATGCCAAGAAGGAGAAAGCAATCAACAATTATTGCTGGTACCTAATAAAGAACACTCGGAGTGAAAGAGATATGATAAATTATCAGCAAAATGCCATTATTTTTCTTCTTAGGTCCTCAATGTGTGAGAGCCAGCTATAAAAATCAGGCATAAATGAGATGACTGTTCTCCAAGTTCCCTGGGTTTAAAAGAAGACTACAGATTTATTCCTTATTATTTATCTTCATAAACTAAGGAGCAAAGTATTTTTTGTATGATGTATAACATTGATGTTCAATAAAAATAAAACTGGTTGTCATCTTCTAAACACAAAGCCACTGAAACATGTATGATAGATATCTGCTTTATAATTGTGTGACATTAAAGTCATGGGAATGACTCACTTTCTGAAATCTTAAACCAGATTTTATGCTTTTTTTCTTTTCCCCTCCCTTCTCTGGCCTCAAATATTGATAGTTGAAAATTGTCGTTATATTAATCATGTTTTATGTGGTAAAATGTTATTTTTTACCACAGCAGAATATTATTTAAATTACCATGGTTGCCCTGACCGGTTTGGCTCAGTGGATGGAGCGTTGGCCTGCGAACTGAAAGGTCCCAGGTTCGATTCCAGTCAAAGGCATGTACCTTGGTTGCGGGCACATCCCCAGTGGGGGGTGTGCAGGAGGCAGCTGATCGATGTTTCTCTCTCATCGATGTTTCTGACTCTCTATCCCTCTCCCTTCCTCTCTGTAAAAAATCAATAAAATATATTCAAAATAAATAAGTAAATAAATTACCATGGTTGTCCAAATCTGTAAATTGATTTTTCTTTTTCATGAGCTAACAGTGGTAAATTCTGTTTACCAAAAGTAGAGATATGTTCCCCATTTACATTTTCTTAAAGGGAAAATGTCAAGTAAAATGTAAGCCCCTTGAAGGCAGGGACTTCGTCTTATTTTCTGTTCTTTCCCTGGCACTTACCTGTACCTGTTACTTTGGAGCTCAATAAATCTTTGTGGAATGGTCTTTTGCTCTTCTATAAAGTGGAATCAAGTCAGAATGGTCATTTTTTACTAAATCTTGTTATGACTGCTGTTTCATTAGTTTTTTCTCACATGAATATCATAATTGTAGGTGGAAAACACACACGGTACACTTTGCACTTTTGTTATGATTCAGTATCTGTAATTGTGAGACATAAACTATGAGATATTTACCACCTAGAAATGCATGAAGGAGCAGTTACAAGCAGCAACAGACCAGTTAGACCACATGCTCATTAAGTCATTAAATAAATTACCATATATATATATGTTTTTATTTATTTTTAGAGAGAGAAGGGAAAGGAATAGAGAAACATCACAGATCAGCTGCCTCCTGCATGCCCCCTACTAAGGATTGAGCCCACCACCTGGGCATATGCCTACCTGGAAATTGAATCAGCAACCTCTCTTGGTTCCTGGGTGGATTGACACCCAACCTCTGAGCCACACCAGCCAGGCATTAAAGTACCTTTTTTTAAATGAGAGAATTTGGAGGGCCTCTCAGCCCTCTTCTGAAGGGTTTGAACATATAAATTGTGGGGGATTAGTCCTGTGACCAACATAGCAGGAAAATCAATCACCTTTCCCAGTCATGCTTAGTTTATACAATAATATTAAATTTCAAGTCTTCCTTTATCTTTGAAAATAAAATATAATTTTTGTTTTTATAGCTATTTAACCATTCAACATACTGATTTGAGGGTGAAAGTCCTTTCAGTAATAAATTACCTCCAAATATGTATTGTAGTTAGCAAATGTAAAATGGCACATAAATACTGTATTAGCCATCATCAATGTAACATACTGAAGTAAACTAATTAGTACAGTAGTCATAGCTAACAAATCAGGGAGTAAAATTAATTTCTAATTTAGAATTGGAAAGTAACATTTTTTATAAATCTTAGATTTCAAAAAGCAGCTTCAAAGGTCTGCTTAGAGTTTTTAAAAGACAAGCTCTCACCCTGGCTGGTGCAGTGGTTAGAGCGTCCTCCCATGCATTGAAGGGTCACAGGTTTGATTCCTGGTCAGGACACATACCCAGGTTGCAGGTTCCATCCCCAGTCTGTGCTAATTACCTCAAACAAGTCTGTCTATTCTTAGAGGAGCATTTAACTATTTTCTGACTTTATAGTATACTAGAGGCCTGGTGCACGTAATTCATACATGGGTAGGGTCCCTAAGGCCTGGCTGGCCATCAGGGCTGATCAGGGCCTTCCCCGGCTGCCACCTTCCTTTGTTCCACACCGCCCCCTGGTGGTCAACACACATCATGGTGAGTGATCAAACTCCTGGTCGAACTCCGGAGGGAACAATTTGCATATTAGCCTTTTATCTACACTAATAAAAGAGAAACATGCAAATTGGAGTCACTCCGCTATGCCCACCAGCCAATAAGGATGAGTATGCAAATTAACCAAACAAAGATGGTTAATTTGCATATGCAGGTACAGAGCGAAGACTGAAGATGACTGAAGACTGAAGAGGCTTGGCTTCTCCGCTGCAGCCGGAGCGGAGAAGCCAAGCCTCACTGCTGCGGCTGGACCAAAGGCCTGGGTCCCCGGTGCCAGAGGAAAACCAGTGCCGGCAGCCAGGGGAAGGAAGGCCTATTGCGCGAATCTCCATGCAACGGGCCTCTAGTATATATATAGATTAGTACAGTATTTGATTTTAAACACTTGCTTTCTCATACTAGTATTTATAAAAGATTAGTGTCCCAGTGCACAGATTCATGCACATTGAAAGGCTAAGTGTCCGTCTGTCCGACTGGTAACTATGACATGCACTGACCACCAGGGGACAGATGCTCAACGCAGGAGCTGCCATGATGTGCACTGGCCATCCTATATAAGCCTAATGTACTAAGTGTCTGAATTAGAAAAAATATTTTAGCATCGCTATTCACGTATTGCTAATGAAAAGAAAATAGGATTCTACCAAGTCTCCTATCTACCAACTCTAGAACTTCTGTGAGGATCAAATGAGATGAGGCACAGGAAAATGCTTTACAAACATTTGGTTAAACTGTAAAATGTTTGCACCTGGCTATAAAGCAAGTTGGGTTCCTCAGCTAAGAGGATGCTAGTCACTAGGGATAGGAAGACGTACTATGTGACATCATTACCCAGTGCCCACAGCCACCATTTCCAGGCTGAGCTGGGCTGTGGGCCGCATTTTGCGCCATGGGGTCTTGGCAGCATTGGCTGTGATTTGGTGGGGTGTCGCTCCTGGGATGATGGCAGGGCCTGTGTCCCACTTGGGGGAAGCCAAGTATTAGTTTGTCAGTGCTAGGTCCGTGGTGCTGTTTATTTTTAAACTATAGGTCCGGTGCACGAATTCGTGCACATTGAAAGGAAATTAATTAGAAATATTTCAGAGGCCAGCGAGAGACCATGGGAGGTTGGCTCCAGTGCATGTCTGGCCATCTCGCCCAGTCCCGATCAACCAGACCCCAGCAGCAAGCTAACCTACTGGTCTGAGCGTCTCCCCTGATGGTCAGTGCGCATCATAGTGACTGGTCAAACAGTCAGACACATAGTATATTAGGCTTTTATTATATAGGATGGCCAGTGCACATCATGGCAGCTCCTGCGTTGAGCATCTGCCCCCTGGTGGTCAGTGCGCATCATAGCTACCAGTTGGACAGATGGACACTTAGCCTTTAAATATATAAAAATTGAGCAGTAAAGAAGTGTTGACAATTCCACAATTCACACTGTTTTAATGTAAGGATTATAAAATACATACAATAAAAAATACAGATGGTATAAGGTGATAAAGATAAATTAAAAACTTCCTCCCCATCCTCCAATCTTCCAGTGTCACAACTATAAATACAATAGTTTCTTTAAAATACTGAAATTTAACATTCTAACAAGCCATAAGGCCTTGTTTCTTCTCCATTCGTTTGTTTTACATAGTGTAGAGATACATTAAAATATTAAGCCTCACTACTGTTATAGAAAAGGACTGAAACTCTTAATTTTATAATAAAATATAGTTAACACTAGACTGCCAAAAGCCCGTGTTCTTCACATTTACTATTCTCATTAATTCCTCATCACACACACACATCCAACCCCTATTGATCACCAAAATTTTATAGTCTTATCTTGCAAGTGTAGCATATATATAATTAAACAGTTGATAAACATATAAAGATTGAGCACAAAGAAGGCCCACAAGGTACTGCTGTGCAATGTATCTACCAACAGGTTGATTAGGCCAGTTGTTATATTTGACAGCAAGAAAAAAATCAACTGGTTTCTGTTTATAGCTGTGATTAAACAAAGACTGGGTTTCTTTCTTTCAGCTTCAGAGACTAGAGATTCTGAATGCTTTTTATCTGTAGCAGGAGACTGGATAAGTTTCCAAGAACATGGTACTAGAGCCCCTTGAATTAGAAATTTGGCAAAACTCAAAAGTATATCACCCAGTAATAAACTACTAAGAAGGATCAAGCTAGAAGCAACTATCCAAATACAAAAGGCTAAATTGGCCATTCTTCTAGATGCTGCTTCTACCTTTACCTGAACTATGTACAGAGATACAAAGAGGCTAATAGCTAACAGTAGAATACAATACGCTACTTTTATCCAGTCTTTGATATGTGATCTTTTTTTAAGCACATATGACCCTGTTTGCACACCAGCCATGTGTATTGCCACATACCCCAAGGTAGACATTATTCCTTCTCGGTTGGCATTTAATAAACCAACCCTTGTGCCACTGCCATCAGTGCCATACAAAATTAACCTTTTCAATGGGGTCAAGTCAAGGGCTAGCTGGTATAATACAGTGATGCCAATGGCCACAATCCAGGATTTATTAGGTGGGAAAAACATCAAAAGCAGTGATGTTATCAATTTCACAACTATTAAGGTAAAGAAAAAGTTCCAATGAACTCCATACTCAGTTAAATGTTCCTGATAGCCTATGGATTTTATAATGATTAATCGTCCTACTCCTAGGAAGACTAATGGCCAAACAGAGTACAATGACTTTGTAAAATGATCAAATCTGGACCCTTCCATACATTTTCTCCTAATCTCTGGACAAACCATTGCAGTTCCAAACACAAAGCCTCCTACTCCAAAATCCATTGCTCCTGTCCCGTAGAGCTCAGTTTTGGCTAATCTTCTGGGGAAAAGTGGGAAGTCCACAGCCAAAATGGCAACAGCAGTAAAGGCACTGTTAATTACACGGAAACAGGAGATGGCTGGAATGTATTCTGATTCTAGACTAATTTTTAAGAATTTTTCAAGTATTTTCTGGACAGGCATTCTGGCATAGCAAGTTCTCCGGCAGTATATTTGATAGAATAGCCCTGCCCCAAAGATAATTACAGTGAGGTGCTCAAGGTATACAAAGGAAGACAAAATGGTCAAAGTGGTCACCATGGGAACTATTAGGAAAACAAAGTCAATGAAGAATCGAGTTCTCCAGGTATGTGAAGACCACAAGTGCTGTGAGAGAATGATCAGGAGCCCTCTGCACAGGATGCAGACCACAGGCAAGCACAAGCCCTGGGTAATTTCCAGCACGCTGGTTCCATTGTGGTTACTAACAAAAGCTTCCTTCATCTGCTTTTGAGACATTTTTTCTTCTTCCTGTTTTCACAAAGAGCAAAGGAATGCATTTGTGGAAAGCAGTGTTCTTGTGCAATTGGCATATATATGTACCTGACTTACTTTTATCTTAAATTTCAGAGTAGAACCTAGGTCTGTCATGTGACTTCCTCTTCGAAGGATTGTGGGAAGAAGCCTAACACTAATACATGAGGATACGAATGTTACACTAATAGCATGAAATTATTGGTTAAAAAGCTTTAGCTATTTTCAGTATAAGGCAGACTCACAAAAAAGTACATTTGGGATGATTAAAAAAAAAAAAAAATCCCACGGTCGGACAGAAATTCCTATTACAAAACATGGTCTGTCATGACGATTATGTAATGAAAATGGCTATACGTTAGATCAGACAGAGGGGAAGGGCAGGGACAGAGAAGGCATTCAAGTACACTTGGTAGTTGGGGCCTTGGTTTTTGTTCAGAGCCTCCAGGACACACATCTGAGTCCCCCAGTGGCCTCTTGAGCCCCAGGCTGCTCCTTACATTTACAGGTGCTGAATTTCACGTTAGATATACGTTAGGCAGAATGGAGGCTAAGGGGGGGGGGGGGGGGGGCCGTATAGTATAGCACATACTGGGGTTGTTTTATAAAACGCCTCTCGGCCACACAGCAATGTCTGAAAAGTGGCACATGCGAACACATTTGTTAGTCCAACAAGAACGATGTAGAATAAATGAATTCATGACGGCTTAAGCCGGTAACAAACCGATCGGCTGGCTTAAAACTACAAGTCCTGCCCTGGCCGGTTTGGCTCAGCGGATAGAGCATCGGCCTGCAGACTCAAGGGTCCCAGGTTCGATTCCGGTCAAGGGCATGTACCTTGGTTGCGGCACAGCCCCTGTGGGGAGTGTGCAGGAGGCAGCTGATCGATGTTTCTCTCTCATCAATGTTTCTGGCTCTTTCCCTCCCTCTTTGTAAAAAATCAATGAAGTACATTGAAAAAAACAAAAAACTACAAGTCCTTTTCCACCACCGCGTCGGGACCGTATACCTCCCGTGCTCGGTGCTCCGGTTGGTCTCAGTGCTCCCCGGACGGAGACTGTCTACGTGGGTCAGGCCGCTCGCCTCCCCCGGCCCCGAGGGGCAACGCGGCGGAACGGGCAGCTTCCGCCTCCCGAGCCGCGCTTCCGGCCGACGGGAGTGGGGAGATTGCGCTTCCGGGCCGGCGAATTCCGCGCGCATCCGGTCCTGGGTGGTGCTGGTTTCCTCGCCAGCTCCAGCATGGGGTGCCCGGCCAAGGGGTGCCCGGGCCGTGGCCGTAGCCGGCCCGTCCGAGGAGCCGGAGCGGAAAAGCCGCATCGGGAGCCGCACTACCGCTCAGACCGCGGCGCGGCCCGTCAGGGTGATGGGTCGCAGGCCCCGGCAAACATTGGGCCGTGGCGGCCCCTCCCAGCCCGGCGAGGGCCCCGAGACCAGGACGCCCTGCCTCCCGCGCCGCTCCCGCCTGGACCCGAGCCTCCCCTTCACTCCAGTCATACCCAGACTCTCAAAACGTCCTGTGCCAGGAGGAGCCCCCAGCTCCGGGTCCCCGCATCGCGATCAGACCACGTGCGCCCCGCGCCGCGTGTGCGCGCCCCGCCCCGGGGGAGGAGCCAGCCGCCGGCCGGCCACTTAGCGGAGCGGCTGCGGCGGTGCGAGCCCGCGGTCTCGGCTTTCTCTCGGGTTCGCCCCCGCCCCTCCTCTTCCCTCCGCTCCTCGGGCTCTTCCCGCCGCCCCACCCGGCCCGCCCGCTTTTCCAGCCGGGCCGGCGGGGCCGCACGCTCAGGCCGTGGGATCGGTGAGTGCCACCCCAGCCCCGGTCTGAAGCCCTTCCATGACCCCCAAGGGGCGGGGAGGCCGGTTTGCCCCCGGAGCGCTGAGGCAGAAGTGGACATCTCCCCTTTCCAAAGCGCCTTTTCCCTGCCCTTTCCCTTTCCCTTTTGACCCTCTCGTACCCCAAGGGAAGGTAGCCTGGATCCTGGCCCTTACCAGGAACTTCTGTGAACAAGGACCTTTCATGGTCACCTTCCACCTTGCCAGCAGCGGGCGACCCTCAGTGGGGGTTGGGGGGAGGTCCGGGTCGGCAGGGTGGGTCCCCGCCCCTGCTCCTCTCCAGAGGGACCTGGGATGGGGCGCTGGCCCCGGGAGGCGTCAGGGCAGCCGCGCCCTTGGCTGGGGTCACGTCCACCTTCCCGGGAAGGACATACTCTCCCCGCGCCAGGTGCTTAAGGAGCGGCATCCCAGCCTGGGCCCGGCGGGCCCTTTGCCAGGATCGGGAGCCCCCGGTTCCCGCTGGGAACCTCAGGGCGGGGCTGGCGAGGCTACCAGGACCCTCACCCGGCTTTTCTATTCTGCCCTCCGAGCCGAGGAGAACCTGAGGCTGGGGAGGAGGAGGAGCTGGTGATCAGGTTGCCGCTTGCCTTGCCTTGACTTGGTGTTTCATCTATTCATTACCCGCTCCCTCCTGCCCGCAGTGGTCACACCCTTTCCAGAACTGCTTGGCTGGTAACCACGAAGCCGAGTGGGAGCAAGAGCGGGGAGGACTGGAGAAAACCGCTCTAACCTGACTTAACTCTGGCTGAGAGCTGACATTGCACATACTAACCAACATTTGCAAAGAGCTCTCACGGATTCCACTAGCGGCAGCCCATTTGATCCTGAACTCTACACTGTGAGGTCTGGGTGTTAGTATTCCTTTTTTGCAAACGACAGGGGTGAGGGTTGGGGCTGCAAATCTGGGTCAGGGTGATGTGGAGGGTGAAGACACTGGGAGACAGAAAAGCCTCCTGCTCTCTCCTCTCCACTAGACAGAAATATCCTTTCTTAGCATAGCCAGTAGTTGTGGGGTGGGAGGCTAAAGTCAACCAGATACTACTCCAGGAAGAGAAATCAGAGCTCAGTCATTCACTGGTAAGTCACATCACCTTCCTGGTCTACTTTGATTCCTCATCTTGCAAATGGAGATAGTAAAATCTGCCTCGCAAGGAGTGGTTGTGGAGGAAATAAAGCTTAGAGAGCTCTAGTGATATGCATCTGAGGGGCTTTGGGTTCTAACCCACAACCTCTCGTGCTCTGCCTCTGGTCCTCTCAGATGAGCTTCCAGTCGAGAGAGTTTTGTTCTCCTTGAGTTTCTGGAGCCTCTGCGTAGCTGTCCTTTGGATGGGATACAGTCAGTGTCCAGGGTGAATGTGGAATGTGTCTAACAGGCCAGATGCTCTTCTCTGCCTGAATGTTCCCATGGAAGTTCCTATTCCTGTTCTTTCAAAGGCTAGATGTATTCAGAACCTTAAGAAAGTCTCCACCACATTAAAAAAAAACAAGAAAGAAAAAAAAAAGAAAGTCTCCCCTCCTGGCCAGGGTGGCTCAGTAATTGAGCATCAACCTATGAACCAAGAAGTCACGGTTCAATTCCTGCTCAGGGCACATGCCCGGGTTGGGCTGTGGGCTCCATCCCCATTGTGTCACATGCAGGAGGAAGCCAGTCAATGATTCTCTCATCATTGATGTTTCTATCGCTCTCTCCCTCTCCCTTCCTCTCTGAAATCAATTTAAAAAAAAAATTTTTTTTCTTAAAAAAAGAAACTACCCCCCAAGGTTAATCCATTTCAGACCCCCCTCATCATGCTTTGCTGGGGCAGTGTGCGGCCTGGGAAATTCTGAGTCTGAGGGTCACTTACAGTTTTACAGAAATTGGCCTAAGCCCAACTCACAACACCCCTCTCTCAGATGGGCTCCCATCCTCTGAAATTCTCATTTTAAAGTTGACACTGGAATATTCCACCTGATTAGTGCCCCCAAATTTTGTTAATTGTACTAACAATGTTTCCCCTCTGAGTGCATATTCAGATTTGTGTTTTGTGGGTTGCTTTCAATCCATGACCTCATTGACCTTCACAGCCACTCCTTGTGAGGCAGATTTTACTATCTCCATTTGCAAGATGAGGAATCAAAGTGGACCAAGGAAGGTGATGTGACTTACCAGTGAATGACTGAGCTCTGATTTCTCTTCCTGGAGTATTATCTGGTTGACTTTAGCCTTCCACCCCACCAACTACTGGCTATGCTAAGAAAGGATATTTCTGTCTAGTGGAGAGGAGAGAGCAGGAGACGTCTCTGTGTCCGAGTGTCTTCACCCTCCACATCACACTGACCCAGATTTGCAGCCCCACCCCTAACCCTGTAGTAAAACTAGCCCCGGAAGAGCCCAGGGAGCCTCCAGAAGCTCTTGTAAGTTTCCCCTGCTCCCTACTTGGCAGGGAACAGAAGAGACTTCCTTTCTGCCCAGGCTCGCTCTGGTTCTCATTTTAGTTCCTCTGCTCGGTGCAGGGAGCGGGAGTGAGTCACCCTAAAGAAGCCTTCACCTGTGTGTGGCCCTTGTCTTCTCTCTCGTGCCATAGGCTCTGGAATGACTCACCTCAGATTCTTCCCTTTGCTGGACCCATGCCCGAGCCTGTGTCCTCATGACTAGGTGGATTGCACTCCTTGTGCTTGTAACCCAGAACTCTGGCTGACCACACTGAAGCAGGATGCTCCAGCAGGTAAAACCTCACCCTCAGATAACCCAGGCCCCAAAGCACCTGAAGCACCTTTGTATCTTTTACTTGTCTGAATGTGGTTTCACTACCCTGTCCGGGAAGGAAGAAAACGACCCCTTAAAGGTCTTCTTTTCTCACTTCAGGAAGTTATTCCAGTGCCTTTCACCTGTTGTTAAGTTCTTCCTGATACCTAATTTGAATCTCCCCTGTTGTAGCTGATAGCTCTTTTCCTTGGTGTGGTTAAGGCAGTGGTTCTCAACCTTGGCTGCACATTAGAATCACCTGGGAATCTTTAACATCCTGATTTCTGGGCCTCATCCTCCGGAAATTCTGTTTCTTTGTTACTAATGTTGTGCCCTCACCCCACAACAAAGAAACAGAATTTCTGGAGGATGAGGCCCAGAAATCAGGATTTTAAAAAGATTCCCAGGTGACTCTAATGTGCAGCCAAGGTTGAGAACCACTGGGTTAAGGGAATCCTGAGGGCACTTTGGTGACCTTCAAGCCTGAACCAGTGAGGAAGTCCTGAGAGATGTCACTGCCAGCCGGAATTGTTGAGGCACAGGGGAAGCCTGGGGCTTCCAAAAGGAGGTGAAGCTGAGAGATGTCCCTAAAGATGTCTCCTTGAAGCTGGGCCTTAAAGAATAAGTAGGGACTGGCCAGTGTGGCTAAGTGGTTGAGCATCGACCTATGAACCAGGAGGTCACAATTCAATTCCTGGTCAGGGCACATGCTCAGGCTGTGGGCTCAATCTCCAATGTGGTGTGTGCTGGAGGCAGCCGATCAATGATTCTCTCTCATCATTGATGTTTCTATCTCTTTCTCCCTCTCCCTTCCTCTCTGAAATCAATTAAAAAAATATTTTAAAAAAGAAGAAGTAAGAATTAGCCAAGTAGAGAAGGAAAATACGCGGTCCAAACAAAGAGGTCAGTCTGTGCAAAAGTGTGGGAGATGACCCTTGTGGAAATAGAGAAGGATTCTGATGAATGGATCACAGGGCACATGGGGGGTTGCTATTGGATCTCTGCCACTCGGAAAAGGCTACTATGGCCCCCAAAGCAGAGGGATTTCCAGGGATCTAGCTATGCTCTGACCTCAGCACTTACTCTGGAGGCCAAGACGCTGCCTTGTGCATCATGGTGGGCCCAAGTTCAGAGAAGAGGCAACATCTTTGTTGCCCGAGCAGGTTTGGCTCAGAGAATAGAGCGTCAGCCTGCGGACTGCAGAGTCTTGGGTTCGATTCCAGTCAAGGGCACATCCCTGGGTTGCAGGAGGCAGCTGATCAATAACCTCTCTCATCATTGATGTTTCTATCTCTCTCCCTCTCCCTTCCTTTCTGAAATCAATAAAAAAATATCTTTAGAAAAAAGAAACTTGTCTTTCGGCCTCTCAAATGACACCTGCCACCTGGGCTTGAGGGATTTGAACTTGTAGGGCTCACTAGTCTCATGGAAACCCACACAGGTCAT